TATATGGCAAAACTGGTCGGCTCCTAGCAGAATTGAATTTGCAAAGCATCCGAACCGTCGGGCCGTAGTTAAAATAGGTTTCCAAATAGTTTTTCTATAATAATATATTTCGCGTTTTAAACCGTTTAAGTATTTTATTGAAATAGTTACCTTTTTTATTTGTATGTATGGAGTAATAAATTTTAAATCCCGATTGTTATCCAGAAATAATGAGTCAAACGAGAACAGATCTACGGATGGCACTAAATATTATGATTTCATCCGCGAAATTTACGTCAATGTGACGTCGGTTTCATCAAATCGCGTTTTGTCTAAGTCTTAAGTGTATGGTAGGTAGGGTCACAATCGTGAAAAAACGATGACTGCGCCGGCGCCACTGAAATAATCTGGCATGTCCGGTGGGGGTTGCCATTTTTAGTTAAATGTTATTATGTTCATTACTTTCTTACTAATAATTTAAGTTAACTTTTTCGATGTCATAGGGACAATAATTCTGCTTTATAGGGAATTTGATTAAAGACTAACTGTTTAAGCGACTTCGTCCGCGTAGAATGGTTATTTTGGACATCCAAATAATAGTTTTGCAACCTTCTTTATAAACTGTAGTTTATACTCTCGCCAGCGTCTCGCGTCTCACATCGTTCTGGCAAGTTAATAGGGGGCTTTTGGGGAAACCCTTTTTTTCCTTTTGTGGGAACCTGGAACCGTTTTCGCAGCGTACGCAACAGAAGCTGCCAAAGGATGAATAATTTTCCACACTTCACGTTGTTTCTTAGCTCTTATTAGTGTAGCGAGATGTTTTATAGGCCTATAGACCTCTCCTTGATAAATGTTCTATAATAATTTTTCAATTTAAACCAGTAGTTCCAGAGATTAGCGCGTCCAAATAAACTAACAAACTCTTCAGTTTAAACGTTAGTATAGATGCAGTATATATTTTGATTATCATTATGTAATCAGTACTCCCATGAACAAAACCCAGGCAATAAGTTATAGATATTAATAATTGTTCCGCATAAATAAAGAACTACTCTAGTTATTAAAATAATCCGCCTCCGAGTGCCAAGGACGTAATGACAGATGGCGAACGTTTTCTCAGTTATTTATATCAGCGGCCATCTTTATTGATCGGACATCGGCGCGTACGCATTGCTGCGTATTGCCAGATTTTAAGAACACAGAAAAAAATAGAATGGATGTATTACAATTAAATAAAATGTCGGGTTAATTAAAAAAAATGATTTGTAAACAAGTTTAACTAATATATTTCGTGCTTTAAACTGTTAAAGTGGTTTATTTAAATTTGTACTATTCGCGTAAAACTTTAGACAGTATTTGTTCTTTTTAACAAAAACCGAAAGTTATATTAAAATGTCTAAATTCAGCTGGAATATTAAAAACTAATAATTATGAAATTTTTGTAGGCCACTGAAAGTTTCAGCAAGAATTTCAAGTTCTTGAACTGATATCGAAACCAGTCGATTCCATAGTGGCTGTGCCAAACGCCTTCTGTTTTGTTCTGTATTCTGTGTTCAGATCACGCCCAGCTATTTCTATTAACAACCGTTGACCCTGTCATGACGATCTTTATCATAATGGCCCACCTGGCCGGGAAATATGTCGGACTCAGGTGGCAATAACGAAAATTTCCTTTTTACGTCACCGACACCGTACATTTATTGGCTTAATAAAATCGCGATCCCGTACATAAAACTCAAAGAGTTTGTCTGTTGCTTGATAAAACATTATATGATAAACATTGGTTCAAATTATACAAATCTGACAACTAAATCAACAGTGAACTATTTAGTAGTTAATCCGTAAAATATTAATTTGTAAACAACTATATAATTAAATTACTTCTAACTGATTAAAACGCGCAATATATCAGTTAATTTATTTTAACTACGACCTTGGCTTTCGGATGCAGTAGCAGTCACCGGAGAATGTTTCGCGTTTTAAACCGTTATAACTGTTTTATTTAAATGTATACTACTTGCGTAACTACATGACTATATATATATATATATATATCTATGTATTATTTTTTTGTTTCATTATGTCCAAATCGTAACATATTTTTATTCTGGAAATGCGTTCCTAATTATTGAAATAAGGATCAAGCAATTATAATGTTATTAAAATCAAATAATGTTTTAATACCTAACATCGTTAATCTTAGTTTTAATACCCTACCTTAAACTCTGAAATCTCGCTCGAAAACCGCGCATACGCGTTTGGCACAAGTATAGGACTTTGGCCATCAAATAAAAGTCTTTTTACATTAGATAAATCGCGTTATTCGGGAACATCTGTCCCTTGCCGATTACATCCATACATAATGCTCAGTTTGTTGTTTTTAATAAAAAGTTTAATCCCTTCCGTTATGACAGCAATTTGTCTGCGGATGGAAAAACTTGCTCGATTACACGCCGTTCGGGGCACGGGGGACGTATTACAGAGGTTTTACTGGAAATTAATTCGTCTAGCTGGTGGATAGTTATTGTGTCTTTATAGATAAGAAAATTTTGAAAATAGAACACTGTATTTTGCAAGTTTTCTGTTTGACGACCTCGGGGGTCTAATGGTATATGCATGTCTTATAATCCACGAATCGTGATGATCCCCACTGTATCCAAAGTGTTTCTTCTTGGACTTCTTCTAGAAATATGAGTACTAAGTAGGGGGTAGACAGGTTCACAGCCAGCATGTTTAATCGCTTTTCGGTTTCACTCGTTAAAATTATTGGAGATTTAAATAAAACTCTTTAACGGTTTAAAACGCGATATACTAGTTAAACTTATTTGAAAATGATTTTTAACTTCGGCCCGACGTTTCGGATGCTTTGCAGCAGCCGTGGTCACGGGGAGTTTCCCCGTTAAAAATCATTTTCAAATAAGTTTAACTAATATATCGCGTTTTAAACCGTTAAAGTGTTTTATTTAAATGTGTACTACTCGCGTAAACTATAGACAGTATTTTATTATTGGAAATTGAAATTTCGACTATCCATAACCGAAATAGGTTGATAGAGCGTCTTGCTTTGATGATATATATTTTTTAGGATATTTGTCTTTCCAACATGTGAACTCGATACTAGTCTGCCCTCCTCTTGTGATAGAGATTTTCGTAATTTATTTGTGATTTTTAGTATTCTAGATTTGTAATTACCAAGAATAACCTTATAGTTTTAACATTAAAGGGAAACAAATAAATTGACACATATACTATGTAATCAAGTACTACTTTTTAAGAATTTTCCAATCCACAGTTCTTAGCCAACCTCGCGAAAAATAATATATTAAGACGTTGTCATCCGTCCGGAAATACATTTCACCGTATTTTCGTGTCAGCACCTTATAATGTCATGCTGTGTACAACCATTAACAATTCAATACTGTCTTAATGAAGAGCTGATAAAATGTATATTGTGCTGTTCGTCACGGCTCCTTTAGGGGCGCTGCGCATGCGCAGTTTACGGGAAGGGTGTACAAGTAGTTAGATTTATAGTTGACACAATTATTGTGTTTAGTAGGTGAGCTAGAACCAAAATAAATATTGCCTCTTAATATAATATACAACATATACATGTGCCTGGATGATATTGAATAGTTATGCCTAAAATACGCTCTGCAGTTTACGCTAGTAGTACACATTTAAATAAAACTTTTTAAAGATTTAAAACGTGATGTATATTAGTTAAAGTTATTTGTCTCCCCGTGACCACGGACGCTGCAAAGCATCCGAAACGTCGGGCAGTAGTTAAATAATTGTCAAATAAGTTTAACTATCGCATTTGAAACCGTTAAAGTGTTTTATTTAAAATAGTTATGTAAAGTACTTGGTTATCTGAAGAACAAATGTGTAAGTCATCAAGGATCTAAGAAAGATTTCATTAATTCATCATCATTCATTAAAAATTTAAATAATAAGTACCTAAATATAATTAAGAAACAAGAAGAAGCTAATAACAATAGAAATAAAATGTAAAATGAATTAACAACATACATTTTCCGAAATAAATATGCTTCCCTTTACAATCTTTTTCTTCAAATTTGTTTGTGTCAATTTTGAAAACTTTAATATTCTTTACATGTTATTGCACATGAAGGCACTATATAATTTATAAATCGAAAATAATTGCTCTTAGAGCAACAGCACGGAACGCTGACGATGCCGGTTCAAGTCCTGCCCGAGTCGAAAATTGTTTTCAATTTGTTTTCGATTTATAAATATATTGTGTCAATTTTATTACGAGAAGACGAAATTTGATTTTCTGACGATCTTTTTAGTCTAGATATCGGTATAGTAACATTTTATTATCGTTTCGATATAACATTTATAAACATACTCATTGTCAACCCTATAGAGTCAATTAATCGACTTCTTTTTTATACGTTTTACGTGTAAGCGAGTGGCCACGGCTGATTTGTGCTTTTGTCGTCAGCAATATATCGTTTAGGACAAATTTCGCGGGGAAAGATCCCACGAAACGAGAACCATTCCAGTGATCTTGATGTCTTCTTTTGTCTCCTTATTTATGGGTCAACATATCTTCACTGTTACTCGGTTCTTTAACGAACTAATTTAAAGCATCACATTTTAAGCAAACAATAAAAAAAGCACTTAACTTATTAATATAATAAGAAGTGAATTTAGATCTGTGATATTTAAATACTGTCTGTAGTTTACGCGAATAGAACCATTTCAATAAAACAATTTAACGGTTTAAAACGCGATATATATTAGGTAAAATTATGTGAAAATTATTTCAACTACGGCCCGACGTTTCGGATGCTTTGCAGCAGCCATGGTCACGGGGAGACTGACAGTATTTTTTATACTTTATATTAATGTCGACAATTTGAACCGCATTTAAAGTTACGTTGAAACTGTATTACTACAGTACGCCGCCTTACAACTCGTAGAGATATTCATTTTGTATTGAAAATTGTATCTTGTCTATAAGACTGCTTCCTACAATTTTAGTTTCTTTTCAGAATATCGGAAATGTGTCAGCTGAGCTCGAGTTGCAGCGGTTGCAGCAAGAACACCTCCGCCGTCAGGAAATGGTGCGACGGGGTCATTTGTACCCCGCTCCACCCCTTGGTCTGCTTCCGTTGCTGGAGCAAATGCGGCCACAACCACCCCATTCGAATGTAAGTCTTTAACACTATCAATGCTGAAAAGGCACCACGGAAAAACTACAATATGAAACGCATAAAGGCTTTAACTATTTAAATAAAACACTTTAACGGTTTAAAACGCGATAAATTAGTTAAACTTATTTGAAAATTATTTTTAACTTCGGCCCGGCGTTTCGGATGCTTTGCAGCAGCCGTGGTCACGGGGAGACACTGTATGTAGCTAGCTAAGTATATGTAGGTAAGGAGCAGCGATTTCAAATTGTCCCAACGAAAGTCATGTATGTTCCAAGTTACATAACCACCTCGATGTTTAGATGCGTTAGATAAATCGGTTTGGCAAGACACATAATTACTATATAATTCAAATCATCCATACCTGTATGTTGGCTAACATCCGGTGCCTAGATTTTACGCAGTCTTAATTAAATTGAGTAATTATTTCGTATACGTTTAATGCTTTAAGTTGAATAAATTACATATTAAATTAATCTGAGGCCGATTCCGATCTTAAATCAACATACTTAATCATTTAAATGAGAATGATTGAATATTGTTGAGATTATAATATTAATTTCTATTCATCAACTTTACGTTTTAATAAATGATTTTGAGATCAAACAGTAAAGTTATTATGAAATTCTAGAAGAATATTGAAGTTATAGTTTTTACATGTTAGCACATGAAGCACTATATAATTTAAAAAATCGAAAATAAATTGGAAAAAATCGAGTGTATCGCTAGCTGAGACGAAAAATGTTTGAACTTATTTCGATTTTTAAAAATACACACATACTTTATCCCTTATAAGATCCGCCTTACCCCTGTTGCCATATATTGTATTTTTAAGTTATATTCTTAACATTCCCCCACTTTAAAATTCATTGTTAAAAGGGCATTTCGTTCGGTGACTTATGATTTCAGTATATTATTTCTCTTTGAAATGAATGATATTGAAAATCCACTGACTGAATGTATCTTTCAGTCAGTCTGTGGGTTTGCGAATGTCCAAGACCAAAGCGAGTCGGCAGCGCAGGTCTCTTAAATGTATTAGTGGCATATGGCAGTTATCAGTTTACCTGATTCAGATTAGCCTGTTTGCCCTCTGTCATAAATGCTAAGGAGAAGTTTATGTTAGTCCTTCCTAATAATAAAGTATATCACAGTATATAAATTAAAATTCACAAATGAAAAATGAAATCCACAAGGGCAGGACTTGAACCGGCATACACAGCGTTCCTTGAGCTACCATGTCATACCAAGATTTAGTGCATACCAAGTGCATACGCTACATCATAACACAATGCATCTTGCATACATTTAGCAAAAAACAATTATGAAATTTTAATCATTATGTTTAAGCTGATAAATCTTGTTGTTTAGATCTCTATAACAAATATATTTTCGAAAGTTTCCAGTCAAGGTGGCGTTATGTAACGTCTCCGAACGAAGATGATCAGTCATCCAGTTCTCGTCTGCGACGGCTTTTATTTGATGTTTATACAAATTAATTGGCGTAATTTCCGTTTTGACGAAACCGTTGTCAAGGAGAGATGCGGCCGTTTTATTGTTGACTTTTATTGTAGATAATTATGCTTAGACAAGAACTTTTGTCGGTGAGAAGTTGATCAATTCCTTTGATGTATACGACGTTTGATAGGCCGTCGTGAGTTATTTGTTTTATTCGGATTTTTTAATGAACCTCTTTTTTAGAATATACGTCTTGAAAACTTTTATATTTTCACAAGTTATTAATACGCAAGTGACGAGATTATATCGCGTGAGAGGTACATGTACTGATAGGTTAGGAATCGACGATGACGTAGGACACGGTAGCTCAATTGGTTAGAAGCAGCACGGAAAGCTGTGGATGCCGCCAAGTCCTACCCGAGTTGTATCCGTAACTCGGACGGTATTTCGATATTATTACTAACCATTTAACTTTACAGATAGGGTGTAAATTACAACAAAAAACTTTGGAATTAATTTGAAGTGGCTACAAAAAAAACATGTTATAATGTTTAGTACATGTTTTTTTTGTTGTTTACGCTGTACTACACATATACATAAAACACTTTTAACGGTTTAAAACGCAAAATTCATTAATTCACTTATTTAAATTTTTCACGTTTGAAATCATTAAAAGTGTCTTACGAGTAGGTACTGTGGCCGTAGAAAATAAATTCGCGCCTATTAATCTGAGATTGAAATAAAAATAAGGGATACAATGTAACTAAAGTACAATTTGAAGTGCTGTAACTCAATCAAAACTATTGCCTCATTAAAATAAATTTGAAAGCTGGAATGAGAAACATAATTACATTTACAGATGTCGGCTGAAAATAACGCAAAGTTTATGCGAAGATAGAGCGAAACTTGTCTATTATTTCTGGCTTTTGTTAGATGGTGGGCGTGGCGTGCGCAATACCAGCGTCACGTCATGTAAATAATTAGCTAATAAGTAAATATTCTTAATTATATAAAGAACCACATCTAAGTCTGTATTACAGAGTAGTACATTTAAAGGAAACATTTTAACGGTTTAAAACGCGAAATATATTTTATTAACTTTGAGTCAGTCCCCCCCGTGACGATAGCTGCTAAGAAATTGTAAATAAGTTAACTATATATACTTCTAACTCTCTTCTACTTTCCAATTTTATTTAAACACATACTTTTAATAATTAAACTTATACCACTTATAAAACATAAATAGATGTAGTTGTTTGACACAAAGCTCTTTCGAAAATCACTGCGCTTCAGTGGTAATAGAAAAGGATACGAGTTTATCGTTTCGCCTATTACGTTCGTTAAAAAAAAAAAAAAAAAATATCCCTTGTTGTTCAGTTTTAAGGAGACATATAAATACTATATTCAAAGTTGTCAAGTGGCCATTTCCTTATATCGGTGAACGGCAATCGATTTTCAAAACTTATATTTTCGTTTAACTTTTCAGGTGGTCCCTTCAAATCCATGGCCGCCAGCCCAGATGCCCCAGATGGCCAGATCTCCACCACCCCAGGACCCTGATGCGCCCCTGAACCTGAGCAAACAGCGGTCTCCATCCCCAGGACCTATGATGATGCCCCGTTTCGTCCCTTACCCACCGATGGACGAGAGCTCACCTTATATGAAAAAGGACGACGAATACAACTCTGCTTGCAATAGTAAGTATATTAAAAATAATATTTAGATATTTAGTAAGACAGGTAATATTTACAGTAATCAATAAAACGATGTTTATTTTTTTTTAATAAATAAACAAAAAAAAACACAATTAATTCTTTCTTCTAAAGGAGATGGAGATTGGAACTGTAAAATCACTCAAACGTCACTGTACCAAAATTAATAACACAAAATAGACCGACGTAATTTCGCGTTAAAATAAACAAGAATCGGCATAAATAAATACAATACCGTGCAATTCGGGTCGTATTTAATATTTATTGCTTTATCAGTTTTAAATATGTTTTATTAAGTATTTCAACAGGTGAGAGAAAACATAAGATAAATTAACGTAATAAATAAATGGAATGTTTGTCTTTAGTAATGAAAATAAGTGTTATTATTTTTATAACTATAAAAATAACACCTTATAACTATACTAAATAAAAAAGATCTTTTATCAACACTGTGTTAATTTTAAGCACGGCACGTCTAAAATGCTTTTTGGTTACGATGTAAGATTTTCATTTTGTCGCAGTCAGTGTGACTAGATTCTTTACATACACACCATTTATAACTATATAACAACACTTCCAATGTTTCGCCTGAGGTTGCTCCAAACCAACCGGACAAATACTTAACTTCGGGTCATAGTTAAGTTTTGGATGCCTTAATAGCTGAGGTTACTGATAATAAGGTGTTTTTTATTTAATTTAAATCACTCGGATAAACTACAGAATGAGATCTAAATATTTCTAGGAGTGTTTCCAATTTACTGTCCGCGAGTGTACGCACGTTATCCAGAAATGCGAAAACTGAAATGTCGCGAGTCGCGGCCAAACATTTTGATGCCTGTTACTAATTGCCAAGTATTAATCCGATGAAAAGTTGCTGAAACAGTATTCGGTTGCACCTGCCATTGTAGGGACGCGCTTTTCTAAGCTAAGCTTAGTGTCTAAAACGAGTTTCCTTGTCAATTTTATTTAATATAATCACTTATCTTCATTTGTCTTTAATAAATTGCATTAAGCAAATGGTAATGTTTTACACGTTTATTATAATTCGGGTTTCGAACCGTTAAAAAGTGTTCAATTGAAAGTGTAAGTACCACTCGAGTAAATGCATAAACGTAACTCATAACTCATAGTAACTCTTCTTTTAATAAATATTTTCGGGCTCGTTGGTGAAAAGATAGCAATGTATGGCTATCAACGGGTCATGGATTCGATCATCACCGCGTCCAACACTTTTCTAAATATATAATTTTTCTGAAACACGTTGGGCTTCGTCTGGAATTCGGGATATTAAATACGTGGAAGAAATATTCTCCTATCATAAAAAAATGTGCACATACTTTTACCTATAGTAAGAAAGTTAACGTTAAAATAGCTTTCTATACACTGTATTACGTATAACGATGCAAATGGTAACTGGCAATAGTTATTATAAACGAGTCCTAAGCTGGTTTCGTAACTTAATAGAGATGGGTAAGAGAAATTAATAGCCACAACAGGTCAATTCGAGGCCTCTTTGATTTATTATATTGCTTCAACATTACAGATCAATTTTATTCTGGTTCAACGTATGTAATTAAGTTATATTAATACATGTTCAACTACCGACAGTTATTGGTTTGGTAATAGCTTTTAAATAAAACACTTTAACGGTTTAAAACGCGATATATATTATACGGCCCGACGTTTCGGATGCTTTGCAGCAGCCCTGGTAACGGGGAGACACCCCGCGGTTTAAATAATTTTCAAACGAGTTTAACTAATATATATAGCGTTTTAAACCGTTAAAGTGTTTTATTTAAAAGTTATTACCAAACCAATAGCTATCCGTACTAATTTAAATGTGTCCTATTAGCGCAAACTAAACAATATATGTAATATAATCAATCTTAAGCTCCGCGGTTTGATTCTCGGTCTAATAACGTTTGATAAATGTTATAAAGGTTGAAATTACGTTGCGCGAGACATGGATGTGTTAATGAGTTAAAAAAATCAACGATGATGTGTAGGACAGGGTAGGTCAATTGGTTAGATCTGTAACGAACACAGAATTGTCTGGAAGCCGGTTCAAGTCGTGCCCCTGTCGTAATCTTTTTTCAATCTGACTAATTTTTTTTATTTACATGTAATCTAAGTACAAATAGACTATTAAATATTTATCATCAATTTTCTATCGTGACTTAAGGTTTACTTTCCTTCCAAGAAAATGTATACTAAATAAATTCTACTAAGGTACTAAGTTAATATAGACTCATGACTTTTCGTATGTTCATATCTCCCCTAAATGAAGCTTGGGATTGATATAAATACAGCATAATATATCTTAAAATAAATTATACTTCGAATCCTTTTTGTCACACTGTACATCAATATAATCGTTGTATGAAAATTATGAAGCGAATAAAATTAATAGAAAACACTTTACATACTTGGCGAGCACCCAACGTGGATGGTTACAAAATTGTCCACCGTTGCTTGATTTCCTTTAAAATAAGAGAATTTCGATAATATGGAATAGATGGCGTTTGTGACGCACATTTCCGCTCGCGGTACAGTCGATGGCAAAAGTGGATACGAGTATTTTCTAAAAAGGTTAAGTTACCTTTCAACTTAAATGACACGTAAGTGTTTAAAACTATTGCTTAATTTAAACTATATAAAACCGCTTATTATGCAACATACTTTCTTTTTAACATTAATATAGGTAAATAACTATCGTTATTGGTAATCTAAATATTTTTAACACACCTAGCGTTAGGCAAGTTATTTCTCAATTTGTTATAAATTACCAAGAGATAAAACAACTTAACTGCCACAATAAATTAATACGCCAAAAAGTAAGTCGAAATTACATATTCATGTTTTGAAATTTACGACCAGTTAAATATACAAAGAAAGCGACGGGTTATTTGTATTAACTGTCGTAAATGTAACTTAAGTCCCGTTCTGAGCCGTGAAGATAAGACGAGAATTTGTTTTTAATGGCTTATTTCGATTTAGTTGCTAATTGTAAATAGTTTGAAATTATTTGATCTTTAAAACGGTTTCCAATAAGTAGCTTTCTAGAGAATTAAAGATGTCTTTTTAAAATACCAATCAGTCTATTATATATAGTTCATTGTTTGTATGAAAATAAAGACTGCCAATAAGATTTTCTATTAAACATATTATATGTCTGGGGATAAGATTACGGGTACTTTCTTTAGCTTAGGTGCCTATAGAATGTATTTCGCATTAAACCAACAGGAAATTGAGAAGAAGCACGTTAATTGCGAAACACACTCACCTATTTCAAGAATAACCAACCGAAACATGTAGGCGGCTAAAACATTGTTCTACATCTGTCAGATACCACGAACGTAATTGACCGTAGACGAGGATTGTCAAATATCTGAAATTGCGCGCGGAACTGTACTGAAATACTGAAGCCACGTAGGATGTAATAAATTATCTAACAGCGTGTCAAATTAATACAGGGAATGCATTACTTTGAATGTTAGCTTATTAATTGTGAGGACACTTGGTAACGAATCCGTCAAACGAAATGCTAAGCGGATGAGTCGTGTGACCTACATATTTTAGCAGGGTTCTCTGATATTTCCGCGCGATTGTACATTTTCGTGTTCGCGGAGATTATGTTATTGCGATGACGGTTTCATACTTTTATCTAGTCTTCTAGAATATACGACTGGGTGTTTCGGAAATTTTACTTTAATAAGCGATATTACTAGCTATTTTAAAATATCATATTCTTGGCGATGTTAGCATTCGTATACTTGAGTTTTTCATGATTCTCTGGATGTAACTAAGATATTCATAACCAAATATTACCCTTTTTTGAAAAATCATTAAAAATATGATATCAGCGATTTTGTGGCGCTGTAAATATTAAAATACAATAACACCAGTACATAAAACTAAAACGAATTTGAAACGCACACTTCGAAACTATTAGCTATTAATTAAAGCAACTTTCTCACTTCCATACATGACATTAAATTATATGACTGGCAACAGTTAAGATTAGAACATTCCAAAATATTTACAAAATGCTAGTGTAATCTCACGAATTTCTCTATCGTGATACGAGTGGTTCGTTTTAGGCTTTAGTGGTATTGTTATAGGGATTATAATCGCTTGTGCGTTTTCGTTAATAGTTAAAGCTGTTGCACCTATAGACTCAATCGGAAGCTTCACTAAGCTCCGCTATAAATTACCGAGAGCAATGAATGCCGGTTGTAAAACAATCGTTAAACGGAGATTAAGAATGAATGTCTATTCTGAAGTGTGCTTTGTTTACGGACCTGAACAAGAGCAGTTTGGCAATCGGTTTCAGAATCTTTTTTTACTGATGTGAACGCCTATTGCACACCCACGTGGGGAAATAGTGACGTGGGGAGTGTGGTAAATCGTGCAACAACCTCCTAGGAGACAATAGCCAACCAGAACCACTAAACACACCAACAGACCGCTACGATGCTCCAAATCTTCAGAATTATCCCTACTGAAAGTCTAAAATGTATCGATAATGTATTCATTTACAGATGATGGCATCTTTCAAACGAACATATATTTTATGTCATTTAAAACACAAAATTGCCATTTATAAAATTTAAGTTATAAATAAGACTCTTGATAAAATATTAATAATTAATTAATAAATCTACGCATTTAGCCAAGAATTTTTATAAACGTCAAATTGTATTTTCAGTATTTAATAATTCAAGTTCGTGATTTTATATCTAAGAGTATATCTATTTCTTTTCAAAAGTTTATTATTGTTCACATGTTATTGCAGCATTAAATAAATTAAAAAGCTTTTTGAATTGATTGAAAAAGAAAGTGACACGGGCATTGAATCGGCATCCACAGCTTTCCGTGCTGTTCTTACCACTAAGTTATCGTCGAATTTTTTCAACCTATTGACACATGCAACTCTCGCGCAATTTAATTTTTATACCTCTATTATTCTTAAACGTAATAATATCTCATCATTTTATTTCAGCATCTGCATGGGGCCAAACTCCACCAGAAGAAGCTGAGAAGGCAAAATTAATCCGGCAACCGAAACGCGACGAAGCCGGGAAGCCTCACATCAAAAGACCTATGAACGCTTTCATGGTTTGGGCGAAGGATGAGCGTCGTAAGATTCTCAAGGCCTGCCCGGATATGCATAACTCGAATATATCGAAAATCCTGGGCGCCAGGTGGAAAGCCATGTCTAATGCTGAAAAGCAACCCTACTATGAGGAGCAGTCAAGATTGTCCAAACTGCATATGGAAAAACATCCAGACTATAGGTAACATTTATTCCTTCCATTTAAAATCAAAGGACAATAGTAGACAATGTTGTGATATTGCAAATATCTTATACATGCAATACTAAAACCGTTTTTTCTATTTGCAGGTACCGACCAAGACCAAAACGAACTTGTATAGTCGATGGTAAGAAGATGAGGATATCGGAATATAAGAACCTAATGCGCACACGCCGGCAGGAGATGAGACAGCTCTGGTGTCGGGATGGTGGCAGTGAGCTCGGCTTCTTGCCGTCTCTGTCATCCCCAGGGCCCTCAAATTCATCCCCGCCTCCCAATGGTGGCAACTACATGAACCCAGGATTTTCTCCTCCGCTGTCACCGCGAGAGGATGATTGAGGAACGGCGCGCGGCTGGCCTTATCCGCACGCCGCGCCCCTTTCCATGCCTCCCCCCCATCCCTGGTAAAACCTCCATTATACTTGACACTGACAGCCCGCGTCAATATTTACATGAACGCGGCATCTGTCAGCTGTCACCGTGTCGTTTAAAGCCAGTGTTGCAATAGGATCTCTCGGTTGTTTAATGAGATTATTCCATTAGTGAGTTAAGCATGGACCTGAACTTTAATAGTGTTATGGCACGTTTCGACGTTTTAGTGCCAAAATAACGTTTTCATTAGGAAAGTGTACATAATATGAATATTCTCTTTTAGTTTTAAAAATGTTTGTACATAAATTTGATTGTAGATACTACTTATTGTAGGTAATTGTTTAATGGTACAATATTTTAAAGTTAGAATATGGTTAGATATTTCTAAACCTGTAGCGTCAGTAATTGTTGCCATGTATAAAACCCTTAGCTATCGTATGTTGTAGAAGCTTATAGATTTAAGGAATTAATGTATCAAACCAAAAATTTGAAGCGGTATGCTTGAAAATTTAAGTGTTTTGAACACGCAACTGATTTTTGAAACCAGTGAGAGCTAATGGATCATTATTAAAATATAATACTCATAGAATATAAATAGTATAGCTCTCTAAATTATAGTTTGTACTGTATTAATAATATTCTGTGTAGTTTTGTCTTGTGTAAACGTTTTGTATTTATAAAATCTAAAATAAAATAAAATCGGAATAAAAATCAAAAGACGACATTCAACATGTCAAAAGTCTAAAATATATTTATAACATCTTATTTGTTTCGGTTTACTGTGAAATAAATTATATTAACTATTGTATCGTATGCGACTATATTACGGAATTAATGCGATCGTATAATCTGTGTATTACTTCACCTGTGCTTATTCTATCGATGGTCAATTTGAGTCTGTCAATTTGTCGCAGAGAAAAAAAATACAGATAGCAATCCCTGTATTGAGGGAAATTATATACGTATATCATCTTGAACTACTGATCTATAGTTACTTATTCAGAAGTCAAATGATAAGTACTGTAAAGAAATTAATGATCGCTTTATCGAATTGTGCAATTTAATAGGTTTAGTGTTAAGCTATATGCATAATATCTACATAATTAAAAGATAGTAACATTGTATAGACTCGTAGTCAATAATTGCCATTTCATAGTTTTGTTATTTATTTTTTTAAATATGTAAACACTTGTTTTCTTCTGAACTGATAGCGAGTATGCGCCATCTTGCGGTCAAGAAGTATACCTAATAGCAAGTCACAAATGTAAATGGTGAGTTAGTTATAATTTTGTGCTCGAGTGTGGCGTGTACTCCCTTTAATAATATGCCAGTAAAATTATTCGAATCGTGCTAAGTGTTAGTGTAAGAAGTAAATTATTGTGTATGTGTTTATTGGTAATCGATAGCGTAGCGTGTATCATTCTTAGTAAATGTGTAAGGATTTAGCAGTGCCGTTAAATTATTTATTTTTATGTTGATATCCATTGTATTGTAAATAACGCGATATTTTTGATGTAAACGTTAGTAATTGTGGTTTTTGTGACCGCGTTTTACGCATGCGTCGCATGGATCTCGGTCAAGTCTTATTTCTATTTATTTTTTACTGTTTATCGTTCTTACTTGCCAGTTTCATCCATCTTGCTATACTTAAATTGTATCTACGTACTTAGTAAAGTTGTACCTATGTTGTTACTTTTATGTTTTCTAAATTATTTCTATGATTGAGATATGTTATTTTCTACTGAATACGCGATCGTAATAGACGTAGAGTAGGTTCTTATACCTAATAGTAGGTATAAAACAGGACACATTATTCAAAAATTGTGCCAAAACCCAAAAGTTTAATAAAAAGTAAATATTGAAAAATAATGTATTGTTTTACTTTTTCTCCTTTGCATACAAATTAAACTGACTTAAAAAAAACACTAACTAAAAAATTTCAACTAACTTACTTTACAACTTACATCACTTACAACTCTCGAATGCTTTGCATTTTCCCCGGCATGTGAATCTATTCTCTGAATCTATCATTTGCTTGAAATTATAAAGCATTATAAGTATTCACAAAAAACTCAGCAAAAAAACTTTATCGGAACATGGACCGGAAAATATTAAAGTTTTCACATGTCAAATTCTGTAATTTCATTTTCAATGAATTCTTCTTTTTCTTTTCTTCTTGCTGCAAAGCTAAGACATTGAACGGTAAAATGAAAGAAAATAGTTAGAGAGTTATCAATAGGTGGAAAAAATTGGAGGATGACGTGTTGGACACGACAGCTCAATTATTGGAACGGGCACGGAGCACGGAACGCTGCGTATACTTGTTCAAACTTATGTCGTATTTTTTTATCTAAATAGATTTTTAGTTTATAAACACAGTTGTATTTTTTATTAAAATAAAATATGTCTAATTATTATACAAATTATATTATGTTTTTAAAATCGCCATTTTTAATTTATTTTTTATAAATACATCTAGAGTATTAAATTTTTTTACTGAGTGGTAATATGTACCATTGTCATTGGTACGGAACATTACGTGCGCTAGTCCAACTAGCACCTGACTGATTTTATAGTTCATTTATTTTGCTGTTTTTTATTCATCATTGCTGAAGTTTCTGAAAAACACATCACAAAATAAGACAAAATTAAATCGGCGATCAATAAATTCCATAGACTCATTTCTCAGATATTTTAACTTACTGTCAATTGTCGTGTGTTTCTTGTAAACTGTCAATGTCAATCCCTTTAACATCCACTACAAATGTGTCAGTGCTACCTATCATTATTTGTATTTATATTTTATATAGTGAAACCGTGCAGTGCGACACTGGTTGAGAAAAATTAAATATTTTAATAGAAACTGTTTAATATTTATTTACTTGTATTTGTAGTTTTATAAAAGAAAATGCTCGCTTAAGTCATGTCAGATCGTAAAGTGCCCCCTTACATTCTTCAGGAACTACCAGATATTACAGAATGTGTGAATTTTCCCATAAAAAATATTCAACGCATAAAGGTTAGTTTTTCATTTGGCTCAGTTTCAAATCGTTTTTGTGACTATAATTACTGCATACACCATATTCAGAAGCAACTATTAATATTCAAGGTTAAAAGTGCTGTGTGACATATCCAATAAGAATCTTATTTCATAGTACTTACTTATTCTTTCATAACTATTTCAACTTGAGAGGGTTCTTAAGATAATAATGCTGATTTTACCTCGGATTGGATTAGAAAGGGAATTCTGGTATAACTACAATATTAACATTTGTTTTACACATATTTTCTCATGTGTTAAGTACAAATACAATCTATCAGCTGTGTAAATAATTGATACTAGTAAAAAAATGGATACTAGTTTTTAAAAACATATGATGGGCTTATGTTAACAATTATAAGAAAAAAAAAACTCAAAAGATATTTGAAATATTTATTCCATATTATAAAAATGTGCCTTTAACAGATAAATTAAGTCTTAATTACTATATTATTTTAAGTATAATATAACATTTAGAAAGTGTCTTTGCTTATTTTTCCTTTATAGACTTCCTTTTACAATTGTAACTGATATTGCATACTCTATTTTGTCAACGAAACTCCCAGGATAGATATTTTATACATATACAGTGCTTGTAAAATATGATCTTGATAAAATATAAGCAATATTTAATTTCAGTACACATGCTTTGATATATCAAAATCTTTAATTGCATTTGGAGCAACTAGCGGTGGCATTTACGTATTTAACAGATGGCCTTGTGAATTTATACAACTTATACCAAATAAGGTAATACACTATGTCTGTCTTAATGTATTCTTAAATTAATAATTTGCCTATTATTATTTGTCCCTGTACAGCTACAACTGGAATCCTTTAAAGTAGAAGTTTTTTAATGTCAAGTGCCTCTACTATGATCGATACTGTGCATAAATAGTGTGTTTATGTTAGAATTCTATTTTGAACATAACCTTTCCGAATCACACTCTTCTATGGTATTTAAAATTTGCAATACACTATTAATGATGAATTTTAGGATGGACCGATTACTAGACTTGCTATATCTACCAATGAGAAACATATCGGTTTTGCTAATGGCAAAGGGATGGTCACCGTAACAGAATGTGACCAAACATTAAGTAGAAATTATTCAACAGCTTCATCCAAGGAACATTTGGGTAATGAAGTAACATCCATGATATGGAGTGGTTGTATGCTCTTCACTGGTGATGATGTTGGAAAAATATCTATTTTACAGCTAAACAGCTTTATTGTAAGTATATTATTATAATTTCTTAGAACACTTATTTACTTATTTGGGTCAAATATATACAGTATTTGAGTTGGATTGTATAACTACTAAACTAAATTTCAGTGTTAAATAACTTTTATTATTATATATAACTAAAACACTTTTTAAATTTAATAAGAGATTAAAAAGTAAATGGGACCTGCAAGTAACATTACAAAATTTAATAAATAAATAATAATAACATTACAGGACACTGTTGGTCGGCACTATGAACAGTTTATTGTTTAACAAAACAATTGTATTGTTTGTCCCTATTGAAGCCCACTATTGTCATATATAAGAAATTTAAAATGTTTGTTAAATGATAAAGACCACACAAATTGAATAAAAAGAGTACTGTTAGCTTTTTTTAATTAAAAATATATCTAACTAATATTAATAAAATGTTGAAGCATATTAAACAATGGGAGAAGTGCAATTTGTTTATCTAATATTGATTTTTTATTTATATATCAAACAAGTTAATATAAAATCATCAATAACATCCCTATACAATATTTTAAAATAAATACTTTGTGTTCCAGACAAAAACTATGTTCCATGGCTCGTCTCAAACCATTATGAGTTTGGATTCTCGAATATGTCAACTAGATACAAGGGATAGTATGTTATTAGTCTCAACATTGACTAGATGTTACATTTGCAATACATCCCAAGAACAGTATAGGCAAATTGGACAGAAATTGCGGGATGGTGAATTTGGGGCCTGTTTTGTTATCACAGAGAAATCTATAACCAATGGAAAGGCAGAAACTAACTTAGAAATAACTGAAGTCAAGAAATACAATATAGTCGACGATGCCCAGTTTCTTGTCGGTGATGAATATTCGAATACGCTCATGTACTGCGCAAGACCATCGTCTAGAATATGGGAAGCCACAGTCGATGGTATGGTCAGACGGACACACCAATTCAAACAAGTGCTAGCTAAACCGCCAATGAAAATAATAAATGTTGAGTCGTACGAAAATGAAAATGTGGTGATCGAAAATGAAAAGAATACATGCGAAGGACAATCAGTCAATTTCTCAAGAATACACTCCATGAATGGTTCTGTATTTTCATTCAACAAGAAGGCATTGTACTTTTTGAATATTGATAATGTTGATGACACGGTTTGGTATTCATACGATGACATAATTGATTGCAGAATTTATCATGACATGTTATATGTATGGCGATCAAATGGATCCTTTGTTAGTCTGAAATTTATGAAAATAGACAAATTCCTAGTCAAATGCTATATCGATGAGAAGTATGTACTGTGTGCGGAATTGTGTGCCTTGTACAAGGAATATTTGCTGGGAAACAATATATCAATAAAAATGCACATTTTAGTAGGTTTAAGAGATAAGTTAAAGAATAACGGCCTGCTATCGAGCGTAGAAGAAGTGTTAATAAAGGTAGAAAAACTCAAATCTAGCGAAGCGACGCAGTTGAAGTCTGGTATATATGTGGTTGATAACTCATTCCATACACAATCATTATTAGACGAAGATTTTGATGCAAAACATAATGATGATAATCTCTTCAATACTCTGTCCCCAGAAGCGCTTCAAGCTTTAAAGGGATTAGGTGTCACTGTGTCAGGCAAGTTTAATTCCAGTAAGAAAATTCTAAAGGAAAAATGGGAAGATTTTGAAGAGAAAATGAAAAATTTCAGCGACAGGAATCAGGATTTATCCCCAATCGGACAGGATAAGGAGAATACTCCTAAGTGGATCACTCGGGATGAATACCCCGATGACACCCCTATTATTAACGATGAGATCATATTTAAAGAATCTAGTCAAGACATTGAAATAGACAATAATTTGCAAAGCAAAGAGGATAAGTTTTGTAAATTGCTATACCAATACTCCAGGTTAAGTCTAGTCAATAAGGAAACGAATTTAGCCTCAATTATTGAGGACTATAGCTGTGATATTAATGAGATACACGAACTAATGCTTTTGTTAGAACAATACTGCATCTCAGTGGGGGCATTGGACGATTCAAAATTTGTGCCGAATAACATTTTCTTAACATATCTCAATATGTGTTCGAGGAGAAGTGAATTATTGGACTCGACAATAAAAAATGAGATCCTGTATAAGTATTTTGTGAACTCTTGCATATCAGTGAACGTTAAGACTCAAAAGTTAATGAATATAGGATGTGAGTGCGGTTTCCCACTGCCATACATACGGACAAGTCAAATGCCAGTATTTTCTGAACTCATTGATGAATTCATTGAAAGGCAGTGGTCTAATCAGACAAAGGAGCAGTGTTACGAGATGTGCAAACGGATGCCTTATTTATGGCGAAAGATTTTGTACTTGAGACGGAATGAGGATTTGCTGCATGTGCTGCGGATATTGCTGCAAATGCTGGACGAAAATCTCTTGCATTCCTTCCTACCGCAGTTTACTTTGGATACTTGGGACCGGGCTATACAACTGTATGCCACCCTACATGCGAACATATGTTTGAATTGTAATAAGAAGTTTGATAATATATCTGTTAAGGACATGTTAAGTTGGGACGACTTAGGCTCGTTGATAATTAAGTCTATCGGAGGGAAGCACGCAATTAAAATAATGAAGAAGCACGGAAATTTAATAGATCGTGGTTCTCTCACTATGAAGTTTTATCATACATGTTTGTTGGCGTGTTTGTATGAGAAGTATGACGTCACAATCACTATCGTGTTAGTGGACGCTTTGTATAGTGCATATGAATTTGATGAGTCACGACTAGAGGTAAGTTGTACGACTTTGCATTTTATTTAAACTCATATATAGGATGCAAACTTATCACAATAATATTATAGAATGTTTCTAGGAAGGTTTTGAACATATTCGCAAAATTTCATTAAAATCGGCCGAGTAGTTCGAGCGCAAGAAATCTTTTTCGAATTAACAAAAACCGTTACATTATAGCTACATCAATTACAACCGTGTAACCGTGTACAATTACAAACAATTACGTGCCAAGTACGTGTTGACATTTTTTAAAAAGGGTGTGGTAGAATTCACCGAATTCTATTTGTATTAAAATAAAACATTTTTCGATAGTATAGGAAACTTCGAAAAAAGGTTTCGAACAAAAACAATGAAATCAGCTTTAATGTTATTCAAGTAAATATTTTTTTTATCAGAGTATATTTAGAATTAGTGACGTGCTTTTTCCAGGTCTGCAAGATGTTACGACATTCGTCAAACGGTCAAATCTACAACACATCTCTACCACTTATAGTCGCAGCTACTTCACAATCCTGGGGCCTAAAACACGTTAACGATGAAATAAAACTTAGCAATACTCAAATTAACATAGATAACGTTTTAACAATAATGGCGGAAACACAAATTGCACTAGATTGTTCTCTGTGTGGGTTGCCATTACAAAACGAGTTTTTAATCAAAGATGGCGGACTTTGGGTTTTTAAGTGTGGTCACACTTTTCATGGCGCTTGTCTCATTTTGAATAGGGTCAAATTATGTCCATCTTGTGTCGTTGATGTTTTGTGATTTATTTGTGGCTTTAACTTATATTACACTGACAAGGCAATTCTGAGTTTTCGCGTTTGTAGCAATGGTTGAATATACGTATTATACCTTACGTAATATACCTTATTTACCTTAATAATATTTTTTAAAGCAAAATCCTTAAATTGTGAAATGACACAAAACAAAATGTTTTTTTAATGGTTTTTGAAGAATACAAAAACCAGAAACGCAAAAATACGAAAATATGTTTAATTGCATATGTTTATACAATATTTTGTATAGTTTACTCTATAGCGCATTTAGTATATACATTTGTGTGCAGTCTAACCTTTTAATTAATTATATGACAAGGCCTTAATAAGAATGTTTATGCGTAGTAATTTAAAGTGAGGCCAATTGAATAGATAACATTTAAGATATCTGCTATATATAAATATATTTCGAAATGATCATTAGTACGGGACGTCAACTGATAGGTAAAAACCGTCATTACTATGATAGCGAAATGATGTGTGAAGTTAGCGCGCTTTGACAGGGTCTAGCTGACATCAGAGCAGTGTTAACCGTGGCACTTCTGATCGAACTACTTAACGGATAACACGTGTCTAGAAACTATCCTACGTTTCGTTGTAGAGTTTGTGGTTTGAAAAAATCTGAAATTTATCATTAATAGCGTTTACTAAAATACAACCCCTGATAAAATATTGAACTTAACTATTTTTTTCTAACGTTTAATATACGCAGAAAAAGATATTGCAAGAAACTCGCCACTCTTTTTAAATTTTTATTTAACCAAAAGGTGTGTGTTCAATTTTAAGCAGCAAATCAAACCCGAGTAGTTATTATAGTTGATTATCAAGGTTTAATTATAAGAAAAAGAAAAAATAATACTAGAACAATATTAAACATTGTGTGGCTTTGTTCAAATTTATTGAAATTCCAAATAATACCGATTCTATTGGCCTTACAGTAGTAGCTAGTTTATATAACAAAATATGTACGTAACACCTACAATATTAATCGTTAATACAAAATAAATTCAATACAAACAATATTTACAGCGTTTAGCTTGTGTCATAGCTTTATTAAATCAAAATTAAGACAAAAAGGAATTCAAATTCGTTTATTTCTATTCATTATCTTAAAAATGAGGGTAGTTTCGTAACTGTGTGTGAATTAAAAACATATAAGCACAACTCTTACTGCCGATTATCCTTATGTCGAATTTTTGCGATGTGTTTTATTTTTATTTAATACTATTTAAAAGTTAGTCCTTTAGTCTTCGCTTAGAGGAATGTTAACATCTTCAAAAGATACATTCTCATCTCGCATCGTCGAGAACCATTTTTTAGTTACGACAACCGATCAGCTTGAAACCCCGTGAAAGGATTTAGTATCCAAAATGTTTAATTAGAATGATAGTGGCAATACTTATGATTTTGTTATATTAAGAAACAACTTTTTTTTTGCTATAAACGTAGGATTTTCATAGATTTTTTTTATAATACTCGCTTCTAGGACTTCCGATTTTTTATCACAGTGTACTTTACTAATACATATTTATTTTAGTAAACTAAGCCCATGCGCATACAAGTTTTTTGTTTCGCTCTTACAATTGTAAACATAATTACTATAATAATGAAAATATTTTTGTGATCACCTATTATAATATAACATATCGGCAAAATCAATTGGATTTTACATTGCTTTGAACCACCGATCAAGAAAAACATTTGTGTGGTATACATCACTTAACAAGTGTGAAATGTACTTACTTTTAGAATCGCTTTAAACTGTAAATATGAGCTGTATATTTTTGTAAATGTAGGAAAATGTACTCGTAATATCAACGCTACATCGTATTTAGATAATCATGTTAATCAATATTCTACCTAAATGAAATTAATAAATATGATTGTAATAAGTTTTTAATTTTATTTTTATAATTATCGTTACAATATAAATGTAAAGTGCTTGAATACTTAAAAAAATCTAAGTAAAGACAAATACTAGCAAAGTATTTATTTGTCTTTAGTAAAAAAACAGTTAATATATGGAAATTTTAATAATAAATAGGTGGTAGTAAAATAAAATTACGCCTGGGCCACGAAAAACCGTCTACAGATCCACGCCCGTGAAGTTTAAATGCCTCTGGTTACTGTCTGGTTTGGATATTCGAATATCAAAGCTAAAACAGGCCAACAGCGTATTATCATTAAGTGGTATTTCAACTTCCATCAAGTCCTCCTCCTTATGTCATAAAAAACACTTTGTCTTGGCTACGGGACGTTCTGTATCAAACCAATTTTCTTCATCAACAATTTTACATACTGGTTTATTTGAATCAAATTGATCTCAATAAAACAATTTCTTACAAATAATCAAAATTTTTCCCATTTTAAGGTTTCACGTCAAAATCGCCATCTTTATCCTATTCTGACGTTACGTCAGACATATGTCAAATCTTGGGATTCGCGGGGAATTTTAATACCTACGTAAAGATGAAAAAAATAGCCTTTTTTTATAAATAATTTAATGTTTAACATAATCGTAGAGCTAAACTATTAATACAATCGTTTTAAAACTATCCTATGCTAAAAATCCTCTAGGTAAGTGCTGCTGTTGGCTTTGACATCTATACAACTTTTACGAATATCTGAATACTGTCAACGCCAACTTCGTTTTCGGCGATGCAGCGGTAGATACCTTCATTCTTCTTCGTTATATTATTCAGAGTGAAGTCGAGTTTGCCAGTTGCGTGTCCCCTAAAAATATTTTTAAAAGATGAAAAACATTTACAAGTGGTGTTCAGATCCTGCAACGAAGCTAAAGTATGTAGTTGTTCTATCTCTTTTTACGTCTCCTAAGTCCTCTCCTTATCTTCTACTTCTATCTCGTGCGATAACTCGTATTACGATAATTAAAACCTACGAGGCACTATTTTTCTGGGAAAATCTTGAATTTCCCAGAAATTTTTAAAATGCAAGACTAAAACTTACCTGGTCAACACAGAAATATTTGTGTTTTGCGCAATAAACTCCCATTTTGTAGAAGGCATTGGGTTTCCGATGTTTATGTAGCATTCCAAAACTATAGACGAACGGATCTTTTGAGTAACATTCTTTGCAACTGGTTGCTCAATATATGGTGCGACTGAAATGGTTAAAAACACAATAAAATAGATAATTAGAACTTAGGTAAGGCGTTTTTGACGTTTTAAAACGCGAATACTATTTTTTACCTACTACCGGACGTTTCAGATGCTATGAAACATGTTTTAAACCGTCAAGTGTAAGCCTTTTAGTTTATCGAATCTACAATTTTTATCTTTAGTTCTGTTAAATTAAACGATATATTGTTCCATGGCTAGAGCACCTTCTATCAACTGTTCATGAAGAAGCTATCCATGCGTGTCTCTATCATAAAAAAAAACGTACCCCAAACGTTGACATTGACAGTTCGTGTAGCTGTTCCCATGCTGTTTTCGGCAATGCAATGATACATCCCTGAGTCACTGCCTTTTGCAGTAAACCTGAAAAATAGAGAACAATATTTTAGAGTTGATTACATTCCTTCAACGTTACCTAAGTATGAATATAAGTTTATTATATGTTGCAATTCAATAGTTCGTTAATTGTCTTGAATGCAATAGTGTTTAAATCACGTTGATTACATCCCGTCATTCTTGCAGGTCAATCTTAAAAGATCTGTCACAGAATTTTTATAGATCATTTTAAGAATAATCATTCTTGACAGACATGTTTATTCATGACTTGAATAAACATTTTTTCGATTTCTCCAACCGTTATATCGGTGTACGAAACGAAAGCCCTCAAAGATAGTTTGTCCCGCTTTTTCCACATTTTCTAAAGCGTTCAGCATAATGTTTTATAGCTTACAGCCTTTCTCGATAAATGCTCTAACACAAAAATAATTTTCCAATTAGTTCCTAAGATTAGCGCGTTCGAACAAACAAATTTATGAGTATGAGATTAATGTAGATGACGCATGCCGATTTGGTTAGGGTTATTAACATAACCCTACACCAAATCGGAAAAACAATTTCAAAGACAGCTAATGCCATTTTGACTTTGCAGCTTAGCACTAACGCAATAAAATTTTATCAGTAATAACCTGTGCGTATGAGAATTGTCTGTGTAGTGGCGGTCATCGAAGGCAATGATGACGTCATCCTGATACATATCCCAGTGTACTTGGGCGTCAGGCACAGCATCCACTTCACAGGGTAGAGTTACCAAATCTCCTTGCTTGACTACCAGTGACTCATCAGGGCTTTTTATCTTTGGTGGATCTGAAATGTATATTTCTAACATTATCTTGGGGAACTGGGAAACAGAATGATCATATCTAAATAAAACACTTTAACGGTTTATAACGCGATATTAGTTAAACTTATTTGAAAATAATTTTGAAGTAAAAACTTCTACACTAGCGCCATCTGTTGCAGTTGGCATTTGGAGAAACTGGTAGAATAATCATGTTCTAATACATTTCGCGTTTTAAATCGTTATATTTTTACTACTCGCATAAACAACGGACAATGACATTCAACACATGGACAACGCGACCATTTAAGCAAAAGCCTGAAATTTGTTTGTGTGCGTCCTAACCAGATCTGTATCATAAAAAAATTTTAAACGTATATGACCAACATTTGGGTATATTGTTTGGTATACAGTATAAGTTGACATACATTGTACTTTCACCAAGATTTCTTGTCTGTCAACTCCAATAATGTTGTGGGCTTCACAGATGTACACACCGCCTTGATTTGACTCTGCTGATGGTATTTTCAAAACACTTCCTTCAACGTAAACTCCGTAAGGCATTTCTACATAGTCATAACTGTTTTCTTTCTTGTACCTCCACGAGATGGTAGGTGTTGGTTTCCCGCGAGTAACGCTAAAGAAAATGGAATTACAAATACAAACAAAAAATTTAAGTTAGTATTATTATAAGAAAGAAAAAAATGGCCAAATAACCGACTTCTATTAAAACATTGTTAGAGGAATACTGAGTTGACGTTATAAAGAAGAAGGTTAGAAGTGGTGGCAAGGCCATATAGGCGCGTGCGCGCCTTATTTCGAGAGAGTTTGGTTGTACCGATAAGTTGCCTAAGGGATGACTCTGCCCGATTCAATAGTCAAACTGTCTATCTTTCAAATAATTCAGTGTTGTTTTATTTGTTAATTCGAAAGTAAAGATGGAATCGGTTTATAATATTTGCCTTTTTTTATTGTATTAAACTCGTGGTCTCTAAAACTATGTAAATCAGGTAACAAGCACACTTTATCAATATAAACAAAGATTCGGTAAATTTCTTATTTGTATTTTGCTTGGATATTGGTTGACTTGTACAGGGTAGTCCAAACAAAGCAAAACTTACGTGCAATTCTGTTGAGTCCAGTCACCCGGTTTTAATACAACCTCTGACTTATCTAACTGCACTGCAGGGGCATCTAAAATATGAATTAAATTATTTAAGTACAAAGTTGTATTATTTAATTTAAATATTATATTTTATCAATTTTTATGTTACCTAGTCCAGTAATATAAACACTGGCCCGAAAGTTTACTGACTGTACGCCATTTTCAATCTCACATTCATATTCACCAGCATCTTCTATATCCATGTCTTTAATCAGTAAAGAGTGTTCATCTGAATTTATTTCTATTCGTCGTTCAGTGTTTTCTATTTTGGTACCATTGTGGTACCAGGTTATTGTAGCTTCGGGGTATGCAATTACTTCACAGTATAGCTTGCTTTCATCACCGTATTCAACAGTTATATCTGAAAAATGTTTATGATCTAACATTGTATATACTTAGCATAACACCATTAACTTCTTCAAAAACCTTTTGTTTTTATTTTGATGAAATCGAGCTCGTATTAAACTTCAATATTTACTCACCAGAAGGATTTTGAATTACTTCAAATACAAATGTTCTGTTCACAAACAGCTCCATAGTGCTTTCGCTTTCACCAACAGCATTTTTTGCTTTGCACGTGACTGTACCATTTTTGGTAGCGTTCCCAATGTTAACATAACTTATGTATGTCGATGGGATTTCCAGGAGACTGGTCTGATAATAAAATAAATTCCAATGTAAGTAATATTTCACGATTAGTATAAACAAATGCTTTCAAAAATCTTACTTCAGATGGTATTTTTTCCGAATCTTCATCTTCCCACCAGACTTTCGCTTCTGGAAAACTGTCTATTTTACAAGCGAGTGTTGTGCTCACTCCAAAATCTAACAAGCTCACCTCCCCATCGATAATATAGACGATGGGACGCATCCACTCCGTAACCATTCCTGTTTTAATAATTACAAATATATCTTTATACACATGGTCATCAAACAAATACGTACAAGACACTTATTAGTTAAAACAAATTTTAAAAAGGTTACATAATTTAAATAAAACACTTTAAGGGTCAAAGTGTTTTATTTAAATGTGTACTACTCGCGTAAACTATAGACAGTATTTAAGGTTACATAATCTCATGTGAAGATGGATCCTTTTTTTCTCGACAAATACGTTAGTTGTATGTCCATAATGTTTCAAATATTAAATATATAAATAAAATAAAATAAATTTGTTTCCTATCTACGAAATAGTTCAGTTCAAGATATTCAAATTCAAATTAAGTTTTCAAAATTACCTTGGTGTTGGGTTTCTATAACTTTTGAAGTGCCATAAATCATTTCGTAGCTCACTTTATCTCTCGCAGTGATCTGTAGTAAAATTAGAAATAAGAATTAGCGGTAGTTTGAAATATTGAACCTATCTAATTTTTAGGCTATAGTCATACCCAAATATAAAAACAACTCTATATATATGTATATCTAGATAACAGATTTGTCTGTCTTACTAGGCGTGAGGTAAATTTTTTCAATAAAAAATGAATTTTTGTTACCGTTTCTTTTTGTCTATTTTTGCTTGTTAGCAAGTTAAAAAAATATTAAATTAATATTTTTTTATCATTAATGGATTTTTTTACTCGCACTCACACGTGGCCGGGTCTATTATATTATATTATACTAACCATTAATTTGAACGATTTGCCCGGCTCAAATAAGTGATGAGTTTTAAAGATCCCCTCCGTTCCTTTCATTTTTTCAACCGCTAGAATAGTTGTTTCCTCTGTTTTAAACTTTATTACTTGAACTGATGTCAATTCTAATTGTGTTTCCGGCAACTCTATTAGAATATTACTAGACGTTCCTGCAAGGTGTTTTATTACAAATAATATTTATGTCACAGGCAATATAATACAAAAAATAACAAATTAAAACGGATAGTTATTTCTTTTACAAAGCAACGGACACAATAAAATAGTTGAACAGATACAATAGCCCAATAATTTATATAATTTATGTCGTGTGCAATTATAGAAAAATATTTGCAAAAATGCACATTATGGCAATATAAAGAAAGTTTAAATATAAAATTATTTTTAACTTCTGAAATCCCGACGTTTCGGATGCTTTGCAGCAGCCGTGGTCATAGGGAGACTAAAGATGGAGGATGTCTCTGCCGTCAAAGTAAAATATGTCGCGTTTTTAACCGTTAAAGTGCTTTAATTAAATGTGCACTACTCGCGTAAACTACAGTCAGTATAAAGAAAGATTTCGAAATTTATATGACTCGTTTGCAAAAAAAAAATTTAAAAGCCGCTGTTTTTGAAACACTGTGAGCTGCATGCTTAAGAACAAAAATTTTAAGACTTATATAACGAATGTAGCCAGAATGGTAATATTTGTACAAATGACGTGACGTCCAATTGTGGGAACAACAATGCTCACGGCAAACTAACCAGGTAAGGGTCGGTCCGAGGTTTCCTTTAAGCTTCTAGGTAGCTTTGGAGAAAAGCCGTATTTGAATTTCAGCTGTCTTTGAGTTAATACCGATAGAAACGATGGGCCCTGGCAGTTGACATCCAGAAGGTAATCTCCCATTGTCGGTTCATGTATCCGAAATACCTGTTTCAATTGAAAAGAGAATTAACCATATTATATGTATATGACGGGCTTGTCCATTGGGTGATGGGTTTGATCTCCACAAGGTACAAGATTTTTCTAATCAATTTCTAATTTTTCTGAAAAATGTTGGACTTTCAAAATCTGAATATTAAATGGGGGTAGGAATATCGGCATCTTTCCAATGCTTTTTGTGGATATTGTGGAATGCCAATTTCCAAATATCCAAAGCCAAAATAAGTTGACAGCGCATCTGGTTTAAATGTTATATTATCGGCTGGGGTATTTCACATCAAGTGAGCTCCACGCCCTCTATCATAAAAAATATGTATTAATAAGTTTTTCTTGCCTAATTGTTTTTGTTATAGTGTTTTCCTTATTTTATTTATTATGCATTTGTCCACTGTATTAAAACAGAGAAGTATGATTCAATAGAATAAAAAAAATACCAGAGCATGTTTGGTGTGCAGTATATACTCGTGAGATGGAACTTCTCCCAAGCTGTTGATAATATGAGCCTCGGGATTCTCCCCGGAAATTCCGATCAAAACGGTAGAAGTGTACGCGTCGATTGAAAACTGTAAGCAAAAATTCGAATCTTAACAAATCCACTGTATTGATAATGTTTTTATAGGTCTGTAATTATATGTTTCAAAGTAAGATTATTTTAAATTATAATAAACTAATAAATAAGCGAAGAGGTGTATGTATCAATAGTTAAGAAAATGAGACGATGACGTGTAGGACTCGGTAGCTCAATTGGTTAGAGCACGCACGGAACGCTGGCGATGCCGGTTCAAGTCCTGCCCGAGTCGTAATTTTTGCAATTTATAATAATATTTTTTTATTAACATATTATATTTACTTACCGTATATTGCTTAACGCCGTAAACGTAGTTCGATAAAACTTCGCGTACATTAAGAGTAGTCCATTGAAAACTCATTGTTTCTTTGATGAACGGAAAAGCCTAGAAAGTTAATAAAGCTTGAACTATTTATGCAACTCCCGAAAACATGTAGTGGATCAAATAATTAATTCAAGGTCCCAATTGAAAATGTGAAAATTTGGTATGCCCAAATCAAAATCAAATTAAAAAAATATTCAATCATGTAGGTAGCTTGGTACTTTTATTAACGTGAAAAAAGTTAAAATAAATCTCTAAATTTACATTTACTACTACTTCCTACAACTAATGTTGGGTCTTTCAATTCTTCTTAAACATATTGTCTAAATAACTAATTATATAACATTATTTTTGATGTGATTATTATAATGATTTTGTTACTTGAATTAAGATATATTTTTTTTAGCTTACCTTTCGTAATGTAGCGAGCTCGAAGTGATAAACTGAACCAGAACAAACTTTAGCCACATCGTAGTAAATGTCGTTTGATTCTTCAGCCTGACAACTCCCACTTTGTAATACAAAAACCTGGTAATATGTCACCATAAATAATTTCATATTTACACTCAGTCATATAATATATCGTTACGAACAAAAAACTTCACGTAGTGTCTGTAGTAGCATTTTATTTAAATCAAACACTTTTAACCATTTAAAACGTGAAAGATCTCTCCTCCGCCTCTGTAGCCAAATGGTTAACCTTATTACCTACCATTGCATTATGCGCTAAAGGTCCTAGGTTCGAATCCCAGGGGATAAAAAAATGTTCCGGTCGGGTAGGGCACAGAAGTCTGATCAACTACTTGCCTCTTAAAAAAAATCTTTCAGTAAAACGAAAAAAAAAATTTTTCCCCCCCCCCCCCAAAAAAGGAAAGGGGGATTTAAAACGCAAACAAACTTACTTCAACATTATTAAGAATATTGTAAAGGTTTATTTTTGACAGCCTCGCTTGTCTAATAGTAGCAACGTGTGGATCAACGGGTCGTGCTTTCGATTCCCACCGAGTCCAACATGCTTATAATCAATTAATGATTCTTGAAACGTTTGACATCGATTGAAATATGAAATGAGCATTTGAAAACATTATTATTTTTCACATGTTATTGCACATGAAGGCACTATATAATTTAAAAATCGAAACTAAATTGAAAAAATTTTCGACTCGGCAGGACTTGAACCGGCATCGTCAGCTTTCCGTGCCTTAATACGCAAGGTTAGGTTGAAATTACATTGCGGAGAGGTGCATGTATCAATAAGTTGAAAAAATTCGACATGAGGGTGGACTCGGTAGCTAATTGGTAGAGCAACAGCACGGAACGCTGACGATGCCGGTTCAAGTCCTGCCCGAGTCGAAAATTTTTTCAATTTATTTTCGATTTTTAAATTATGAAATGAGCATATCAAAATTCCGTGCACCCACACCGTCCACGGATGGAAAGCCGTGAAGTTTAATGCGCTTCGGTTTCGTCTGTGGACTTCTGAATATCCAAAGTCAAAATAGGTAGCGCAACCCGTGCTGCCTATTTTTAGCTATATGACTGGAGTGTTTTACCTTCCAAAAAGGTTCAATCCTGAAAAATGTGTGATTTAATCGGGTAGAATACTCGCCTGATCAACTTGCCTTTAAAAACAATCATAGAATTTTTAATTAAATAAAACACTTTAACGGTTTAAAACGCGATATATTAGTTAAACTTATTTGAAAAATGATTTTTAACTTCGGCCCGGCATTTCGGATGCTTTGCAGCATCGTGGTCACGGGCAGACGTTTTAAACCGTTAAAGTGTTTTATTTAAATGTGTACTAATCGCGTAAACTATAGACAGTATTCTATCTACTTTCACATGGATAACAGGTATTTTGATTTCAAGTACCTACTTTGCTTTTTTTATCCCGACAGAGTTTGGCAATAGCTTCAAGCTTCCGTCGCTCCTGTAACTGTGCGTTTGCATCGGTGAACAGGTATATGTAAGAAGACGGCTGGCTTCTCTCCAAAGCCATTTGAATGGCCGACAATGACTTTTCCGGACACCCCTGTCCACCACCAACTTCAACTAAATCCAAGTGGTCTAAGAAGTCCTCATTGTTTGTAAAAATCAATGGCGGGCCCACATCTGACAACAATAATAATAATATTGATCATAGTGAATTAAAAATACGATTTACATTGAGAAAAATACAACACGGGCGGGACCGAGGTGATCATACTTAACCGTAACTATCTTAAAATTATGAATTATTATTACAAATAGATTCTACACACTCTTTACAACAGCCGTAGACATGGGGGGGACTGAAGATGGAGAATGTCAATGTCAAAGTGAAAACTGCGACTAGCGCCATCTGTTTCGTTATAGTAGGATTTTTGGAAGTCACTCGGTATGCAGTTTATAATTATAATCTATAGTCAATATTCATTCACATCTTACCCGGTTCATTAAATTGTAGTAGAATGATTTCGCTAAACTTTGCACCATTCAGCACTGTATTTATATTAGATTTTATAATATACATTTCATCGGACATGGATTGTGTGGTGTCCAGCACAAGCGTGAAACTATTTTGGCTAAGGACATTTGGGATAAAGCACAAAATGATTAAATAATAAACGGTCATTTTATGCACTTCTTGATTGAAGCACTCGGAAATTGCAACTGGCTGATGATATCAATGCAACATCATAATTTTATTATCTGTAGTTTAAGGGGCTTCTACATTGGATAGAACTTATGAATAAACCACTTTTAACGGTGTAAAACGTGAAATATGGTAGTTAACTTTTATTTTGACCACATTCCGACGCAATGATATATTTCGCGTTTAATGCCGATAAAAGTGTTTTATATCAATGTGTACTATTCGCGTACAGAATATACTTACGCACTAGCTTACTTCCACGGAGAAATTTACAATATGTATTTTTCTAATTTAAGAAAAACATCTAAATACTAGAATAAAAATAGTTGTGTAATTCATAAAATAATTAAACGTTCGGCGTAGATGTGTAGGTGTGTTTAATATTGTCAGACTGGTGTTTTAAATCGTAACGCTGCCAAACGAGATAATTATAACGTTTTAATCAAAATGTGTTCAGCTGTTCTATAGTAATAAGCCTTTATTTTTGCATTAAAAGAATATTAACAAGCCATTACATTAAATAGGACTTTTTTATTTAGTAGTTACTATTCTTACTTTCAATTAATTGTTTACCATAAATGATGTGCATTATTTGATTCAAGTGTAAAGAAGAGACAAACAAACAAACATTTGCGTTTCCAATAAATATGGATTCAGTTAAGTTAGCATTACCCCTTACATTAGCAACAAACTTGCACGATAAGATGTTAAACATTGTTGTTTCGTACGCCGAGAGCATTAGTAATTACAACCGAATATATAATTACTAGCTTTGCCCCGGCGGCTGGAATATTTTGGCACAGCCGCGACATCGTCTACGCAGTATTAGTAGTTGGAGTAGCTTATATTAGCGTGGCGTAGAAAAGAACTAACATTATGACATCAATATCTTTTTGAGTCACATTTGAAAAATATAACTGCTTGACAATATTTTAACATAAGAAGGGAAAGGAAAAGAGGGAAGGTAGGTTTTTCCTAGTTACTTGACACCTAATGTCATATTTTTGACAGCTCATACAATATCCTTTTAAATTGTAGCCTATATATATAATATAAGGAATGAAAGCTATATTATTGGAAAGTTTCATTGAAATCCGTTCGGTAGTTTTTGCGTGAAAGAGTAACAAACATCCATCCACACATACAAACTTTCACGTTTATAATACATATTAGTAGGATTTTTGCAAACAATCTCCTCAGCTTACAGATATAGTTGTTATACGAATTTGTTAGCGCATGCAACAGAAGCCCTCACAGATAAATAATTTTCCCCACTTCCTTTCCTCTGCTTCTTCGCTCAGATTGGTTGAAGCATGGTGTTACATAGCGTTAAGCTTTCCTCGTTAAAAGTTCCAATCAACAAGTAAAATGCAATTCGAAACAGCAGTTAGTGAGATTCGCCGTCAAATAAACAAACTCTTTAGTAAATATATTCGTTTACTAATATTAGATATTAGTAAAATATACATGATAAATATATAGTTAATTTGAAAAAAAAAAAAAAAAAAAAATTTTGGCGGGGGGGGGGAAAAAAGGGGGGGGGGGGGGGGGGGGGGGGGGGGCCCCCAAGGGAAAGTCCTGCCCGAGTCGAAAAGTTCTTCAATTTATTTTCGATTTTTAAATTATATCGAATGTAACAATGGTTTTGTATCGTAAGATTTTTTAATACCGAACTACGCAATTAATTTTATATAATTCTAGTGTCCTGATTTTTCAAAAATCATTGAAAAAAATTCGGTTCGTTCATAACAATTATTAATTATACAAAGAACGCTATCATCTGGCTATACAATGTTTTTATAATTAGCACCTAATTTTATTTAAAGCAAGTTCGTCGAAACACACAATTAGCTTGAAAAACAACATTGTATATGAATTAATTTAATGTTCGGCTTACAACCAAGAGGAAACTGGAGCTGATAAAACTATAGGTATTTCGACGGCTGGTTAGTGCTCCTATGTGTATTCAAGAGAATATTTTTTAGGGTTCTGTAATAGGACGAGGAAGCTCCATACTTGGTTCAGACGTGTCTATGGATAGTACATAGCATTGATAAGACTGGTACAGCAGCGAAAAAGCAAAGAAAGTCAGAATAGCTACGTTACTTCAGAACAAATTTATATCACTAGCTGTGTCAGCGACTTCGTCAGCGGGAATCGTTATTTTGGGCATCTAAATTCGTTTTTGCAAACTCCTTCATCTTTATAAACTTAAGCTGTTGCTCACAACGTCGGTCGCGTCCTTATTTTTTGGGTATCTTGAACCATTTTTGCAGCCACGCCTCGGAAACTCATAATTAGGAATAATTTTTCAATTTTTTTTACACAACTCGCTGTAAATTCGTGGTCTTAGTTACAGGACGATGTTTTATAGCATATAAAAGCCGTCCTCGCCTTCCTCGATAAATGCTTACCAACACAAAAATCATTTTGCAATTCGAACCCGTAGTTCGAAACGAACGTTCGCGTTCAAACAAACAAACTTTCAGATTTATATATTAGTATAGATTACTTTGATCTTGTCTACTGTTTACACTTAGGGTCCGGAGTCATTGATAAATGTTGCTCTGGTATTCTAACTAAGCTGAGCCTCGAACACCGAAGACCTGACCATATTGTCAGTCTTTATTAAGGGCGCGTATAAGCTGCACGAACCTTCTCCATCCTCCTTCTGCCTGTTTTATCAGACGCTGCTTGAGTCTCCGTCTATACGTTGTAGAGCTTACAATTTAAAAACAAAGTTTCTCATTAAAACCTTTAGTGATTGGTGTACCTATCTTGCCCAGCGAATACCTTGTAGACCAATTCACTTTAAAGATAAACTTAGCGTATGTTTTCACTTAACATCAGGAGAGGCACAGCCAAACGTTTACTCTATCATAATTTTAAAAAAGTGAGTCCTGGCCATGAAGTTTGCGGTATAATTTACGTTTATTTTTAAAAGGTCGCATTAGTATTAGAAAATTGTTTTATTATAAAAAAAAATAATATCTATTGTTTTAATGTGTTATATATAGACATTATATTTTAGAAATCGTTACTATTCTATACATGTTAAAAGTAGCCGTTAAACTTAGATAAATATAACCTGTAACCGAAAGTAATACTTAGAAGGAAAAATAAACACAATATTAGGTACATCGTATTGCAAATAAGTTAGCAGTGACATCATTTTATCAATTGTGTTAAAATTTAAGTTAGTGTTTTATCGTAATGTATATTCTATATGGGTATAGAAAGACGTTGCCTGCACGCATATTAAATACCTTTCACGGTTTAAATAACACAATATATTACTTAACCCTTGTAAAAATGTTTATTTATTTATTAAAAACCAATCACGCATATGACCTATCCTTTCGGATGCTTTGCAGCTGCAGGTGCGGAGTCGTTTGCGTTTTGAACAGTTAAAAATGTTTTTGAAGTTTTTTTTTGATTAAATATATATTTAATTCTAACCCTAAAAATAAACTTTGAACCTAAAAATGGACTTTAATAAAAATACAAGTTGAGAAATGCAACGATTGGTACTACCACTATAGATCGTTCTCTTCCAGGTAGGCTTAGTTTAACAATGAATTAACATATTACACAAATAAGTCAATTGTAATAAGAATTATGTAAAAGACTTTTATATTAAATAGGCTAATTGAAGTTTAATTAAAGTAATAATAATGAGCCACATTAAATAACCTTCCTTAACATATATGAATCATCGCAAAAATGTATACGCTATTTTTGTGCCTTTAAAAGTGGACGTTTTGACCACAACCGTTGCTGATTCATGCCACAGTAGAATTTTTAGCGTTCCGTATCAAATAGATATGCATTTTTGCTTGAAACCCATTGATAAGATCCATCATTCACCTGATTGAATCATGACAAGTAAGGCGAATTAAAAGCTTTTAAACATGCTTTGCAACAATTTCAGAAGTTACTTGGTGCTGTCTATAGTTTACGCGAGTAGTACACATTTAAATAAAACACTTTAACGGTTTAAAACGCGATATATTAGTTAAACTTATTTGGACATGATTTTTAACTTGGTAAGCCGTGGTCTCCCGTGACCACGCTGCTGCTAAGCATCCAAAACGTCGGGCCGCAGTTAAAAATCATGTCCAAATAAGTTTAACTAATATATCGCGTTTTAAACCGTTAAAGTGTTTTATTTAAATTACTTGGTATGTCCAACATACATACATGTTGGTAATACCAAGATTTGAACTAACGAACAGTTGATTAGCAACCATTTATTGCTACCGTATCTTGCCCTAATTATTTTTTACGTGAAAGACAAACAAACAAACATTCTAACCAGCCATTACAATTATTGCGGAGCATAATGCTCTTTTAACTGGAGATTACTCCGTTATGCAGGAGACCTTATTTGGGCTTTGATAATTATTTAACCTCAGTCGGTTTTGTATGTGCTTAACACAATACGCGAATATAAAGTATGTTGAGGAAAATATAAAATTACTATCCAAAATGGTGCAAATCCGTCTGTTTCTATTGTTTTTCTTACATTCCGTGGTGGGACAGAGGAGTATAACAGTGTTGATAGACAAATCGATAGACCGTGAGACTGTGTTGCCAGATTATTCGACGTGGAATTTCTTTTACGATTACTTATGCTCCGATGAATCTAACATTATCGATATATCAGTTATGACCATTTTTGCTTGGGGTGAGTTATTTTTTTAAATAGGTAAGTAATGACGGGCTTGTTTGTATAATGGTAGCATTGAATACGGCTAATAATCAACGGGTCGTAGCGCCCTTGGGGAAACACTTTAACGTCTAATCACAATATTAGTTTAACTTATTTGAAAAGTTTTTAACTTCGTCTGGACGGTTTGGGGGGTTTGGCGGCGGCCGGGGCCACGGGGAGACTGAGAAGTTAAAAAACATTTTCAAATCAGAATAATAAAATCGGTTTTTAAAACCGTTAAAGGGTTTTATTTAATGGTAGCAATGTACGGCCAAAGCCAACGGGTCACCGATCGTACCGACATTTCTCTAACATTATAATTTTTCTAAAAAACGTCCTTGTCTAGAAATCTGCATAAAATCGGTGGTAGGAATATTTGGACAGCCCAGGTCACGAAATCTTGTCTAAGATGAAATAAGCTGTGTTTAATGCAACATCAAAATATTTATCTTTATCTGTCTTCACTTTATCATTAAAATATATATCTTAAATAATTACATCTGACCATCTGTAACTGTTGCTTGCAGAAGTACTACATGTACTTAGTAGATGACATGGTTTTTGTTAGTGGTATGTAATATATAATAGTTTGGAAACGGTTTCCTATTTGGTGCAAGACATTTATCTGTGTGTTACAGTAGACTTATTTTCAGGTAAGTGATCATCCCTTTGTGATAGTGGGAGACAGACACGCAAGGAGTTCAATTGATAAACTTGTTTAGGAATGCTGTCTTCCTATTTGTTGATATATTTTGGCTTTAAACATTGGGAAATCCACAAATTGAGTCACGATAGCTAAATGTCTTCCTTATGTGAAGAATGGACGGAATTTGAAACCACTCCTTGAACACATATCTTATCTCTTTTTCGGGCTGTTCGGGCGACTTGAGCGAGAAGAGGTTCTCGACGTTGATGAATTATTCGAGCAATCGAGGAGCTAACATCTGCTGATGATGCCGTCCGCACGTGATGGCGAAACGTCGAGAACGTCTTCTTGCTCACGTCGGCCGAACAGCCCGAAAAACAATGATATGCTGAACGATGGCCCTGCTCATAATTGTCATAAACACATAATGATCATAATTCCAATTAACAAATTTTAGAAACAGTGTTGGTTATAGGTACATTGAGTAGTGACGAAATCGTATAACGTTACTCTGTACTCGTAACTAATTTGGTCTTTGGAATATTCCAGATAACATTAAAGTGGTAAATTTTGATGTTTCGGCACCGAAAGGCAAAAAGAAGTATCGTGAATACATACAATACGGAAAACATGAGGTGCCGTTCCACGTTGAGGGATTTTCGGAAAATTCCGACGTTTTAGAAGCGGCTCTGTTACACAGCGCACGAGATTCTTTCATATATACATACACGTACAATGTATCAGGAAAGATTAACCAACGTTATCTGGATTCTTTGAAAGGAGTGGCTTTAAGTAAAAATATACAGGTTTGTGATAAAGCCATATTTTTTATTTAACAAGATTAATTTCGTTAGGTTTTCATAGTGCATCGTTGCTTCGTTGATCTAGTGGTGATAGCATTCGACAGCAGTTCACGAGGTCGAATTCTAGACCAAACGAAAAGATACTCTGATTTTTGAGATTCTCAGAAAACGTTTACAATCGGCCATAAATGAAAGTAGGTGTTCATTTTCCCAAGTACTGAAAGCAGTTGCCTCGTTTTCACTACAAATTTACTTGTAGTAATTGTTAAGCGTACCAACTCGCTACGCTTAAATTTGAAATTATCAATCGCCATTAGGCTAGTGTAAAGACAAACACTTCAAAACACGAACTATATTATTATTTTTAAGGCCATGACGTTTAAGTGATATTCTTTAAATATTTCAAAAAGATTAAGTGCTTAAATAAAATACCTTTAACGTTTTTAACTCAAAATATATTACTGTGAGTAGCTTTTAAGGACACAGATTGTTTCTTCGACCAACTACGACAGAACAGATCGCTGTGTCCAATTTTGCCTTCCATCTTTTTTCCCTCGTGACCACGGCTACTGTAAAGCATACGAACGGCTGTAGTTAAGACAAATTGTAAATAAGGTAACTAATATATTTCGCATTCTAAACCCTAAGTGTTTTACTTAATTCGTACCACTACTATGACAAACAAGATTAATTTGTGTTGATTTTATTTCTTATTTTCTTTAGGTAACATTTCTAGGGCTGAATTATGTTACATCGAATAATGAAGATGGTTTAGCAAGATCGAGTTTAGCTTATGCTACGGGTGGCGATGTGCTACCGATTGATTTGAATTATATCTCGGACTACAAACGTTGGGTAAGTCAACTAAGGTATTTTTATTGTTTAATTACCTTAAAAACATTGGTGACACGGGCTGGACTCGAACATGTTGGTAGTAATATTAAAAATTCCGTCTTGCTCACGATAAAAAAAATCGCGAAGTTTAATCACGATTCGATTTCAGTCCACGAATCTCCGATTTTATAAAATTTGGAATATTCGGAATGAACAGAAATTCAAATTATTGCGTTAAATAAAATTTCTTATATTCGTTAATTCTTTCAGATTTTCCATTACATCGTGGAGGAAGTAAACACGACGAGAACATTTATGTTCAGACAGTATTTTCCAATAACCGTTGTGCCTATTCACTATGATGTAGGTATTCAAAGTTTTCATAAATACAGCCTAAATATTCTTCAGCAATATTCGCACAAAATAATCTAAGCGTTTGCGTTTTAACTTCTCTCTATTCTCTATATCTATTTTAAAGAAATACTAAAAATCAAATGAGTTTTGCTTATCCTCTCATATTAACCTTCTTAAAGCCTTACTACTTAGGGAAGCGTAAAATTTTAGTAATATTAGAATGATTTTTCATTGTTACATAAATGTTACCAAATACTTCATATGAATAAAGTAAAATCAGCTGGTGTATAGAGCGATCACATTTTGGAGCAAGAAGTTCATTGAATTTCTCTGCCCGATCGAAAGCTTGCTTGCTGTTGCTTAATTATTCTCCCGGGATTTGAACTTGGTACCTCTCGTGCTCAACCAATTTTTACGCAGTGGAAGTAATGTTTAGATAAACACTTTAACGGTTTAAAACGCGATATATATGAATTAAACGTGAAAATTATTTTTAACTTCGGCCCGATGTTTCGGATGCTTTGCAGCAGCCGTGCTCGTGGGGAGACTAAAGATGGAGAATGTCTCTGACGTCAAAAAAAAATAGAGATAGCGCCATCTGTTCCGTCGAAGTTAGTATTTGGCGAAACTGGCCGAGTCCTTGCACGATTGCATTATTTGTGTACTACTCGCGTAAACTACAGGCAGGAAGTAATGTTTGTTAATCTTGTAGTTTACAACTGACAGCGAGATCAAAGACTTCAGTATTCTTTTACAAGGAAAAGAGATAGAGCTGTTAAGTGTAGCTGACACACATGGCGGAATCGTTACAAGCAAGAGAACTCTACCTGTCCCAATGTATGGTTCAGTACGGGGAGATATTTATGTAAGTACTAGCCTGACCTATGGTCTTTCTTCGGATCGGTTGTTTTGTTTCAGCGACAAACAAACGAACACACTTTCACAATTATAACATTAGCATATTTTCTTACGTTTGACCTTTATGTTTTACTATCAGCACTTGAATGCCTTCTATACTAACTCAAGGTATTGAAATGGTATACCATGCTAATGGAATCCCAGTATCTTCAAAACGATTTCCTACATACGAAAATCTCAAATATTCGGAGGAGGATCGGATCGAAATTGATAAATTATTTTAGTTAATTAAAAAAAAAAACAAACTGATATTTGTAGTATAATATTTCACAGGGTAAGTATAAGTGTGTGATAAAAGTGAATAAAGGCTTCAACTCGAAATTTATTGTATGTATTTTGCACACAAAAGAAAGTAGGGACGATTTTTTATGAAACGATACATTCTGTTTTGACCATTCTTGTATTATATATTCCGGAAACTTTGTTGTAAATGTTTGTCACATATATCAAATATAACCATGCCATGCCATTTATCTGTTTATAATTTTAGGTATCCGCTTTTGATAACCTTGAACCAGGAAAGTATTCACTGATATTTACAAGCAGTGGTAATGCAATGATAACAATAAAGGGCTCATCAGCTTTTAGTTTTACTCCAAGATTTTCATCATCTAGACCTAAGTCTATTGCAGACACAGTTGCTTATCCTACTGCAGGTTTGTCTTTTTGTAGTTTTATTTCGCAGAACACGTAAGAAGGACAGACAAGCTACATTTATTAGGTATTATTTCTTGGACTTCATCGTTGCTTTGTTGAAGTCCCAAAGACAAGGACAAAATAGTGTCATCAAAGTAAATGTATGTTTGTTCATAAAATTTGTGATTTTTTAGATGAAACATTTGTGTCGATCGAAGTAATGAACCAAGGTGAGAATGTAATATTACATTACGCAGAAATTAAAGATAGTGTAACAAGCAGAATATTGCAACTGGGAAAAACTGATGTTGACAATTTTTATAGTACCAATGAGGGTGTTGAGTTTAAAAATGGCGAACTCAGACTTGGTGTGAGTACTTAACTATCTTACAAGATTTTCTGCTAGTTTAAATTTTTGGTTACTGTTTTTTGGTTTATATGAATTTATACATGTTTTTGTGAAGTTTATTTAATTATTTAACTATTGAAAAGTTATTAAATCTTTTGCCAATCGTTTTGGTTTAGTACCAGTAAATGATTTAAATAAAACATATTAGTTGAATTCATTTGAATGATATTTTAACTACGACCAGATATTTCTCATTTTAAACCGTTACAGTGTTTTATTTAAATGCGTACCACTCGCATAAACTACAGACAGTGTTTAGTTTTGGAATATATACATACTTAAGTAAATAGTTGATTGTAATTATATTTTGAATAAAGATACAATTCAGCAGCCAGTTTCAGACAATATTTCATTCATCCAGTAATATAAACGATATTTCAGGTCCGTGGAGTCATTGAAAAAACTGGAGAACATTTCAGCAGATTTGCACCAAAAGCGATTATGCCAGCTGTCTGGAAAGGTTAACATATTGTATGGCTATATTACGCTCATAATAATTCATTCAAGCTTAATTGAAACTGTCCATCAAATATTAAGAGCAATCTGGAAGATCAGAAAAACGGAAATACCTTTTGACAAGACCACATATTGTTTCTTTATTATAATTAATTCAATATTTATTCATGGCCAGATGAAAGAGTCGTTACTTTGGTCCTTGGCGATGACACCACACTTACGTGTCCAGGAGAGAGCGACAGTTGGATCTATCTTACTTTGGATCAAAAAATATCAACGGACTTAAAGTGAGTCTATAAATAAGCATTAAAAAAGTAGTTTAGACATTAGATAGACGTAATTTCTAATATATAATAATAAAATAGATGGCTTCCTTCCTTTTTAAAATCTATAAAACAGCTAGACTTTTAGCCCAAAGCCCCCCCCCCCTAATTTCTATGATATAAGACAATAAAACGGTCGTATTATTTTATTATCATAGATGAGGACCCAACACCCCAACAATATAACATCAAAACCAAATGCGCTGTCGGCTTTTTTTATTAAAAACCCAACAGAATCCCAGACCGGATACTATTAATGTTTTCTGTATAGGGGTATGCTGTTTTTGCTGCGTATATCAATTGTCGTATTAATCTTCCAGGATTCATGGAGATACACTAGAAATAAAAAACATTCAATTGGGCCAAGCTGGCTTTTACAATTGTGTACTATATGGCAAGAATATTAGGTCATACCAAGTTCTCGTACAAGGTACACTAATACATTTTTACAATTTTTATTACGCTTAAATCATCTCAAACAAATAACTTGGATTCGTCTGTTTCGAATGATTCCTAAAATAATTACTTAGGCGAGACTCGAATATACAAAAGCGCGCCGTGCTTTCGCCCTACCCATGGTACCTACCCAGATGTAACATTTTTTGTCTGAAACATTTGTTCAATATCTCATCTTATTTGTGCTTTAACATTTGAACTGTAATAAAGTTATAAGTACACTAAATAACATATTTTCTTCTGTTTAACTGCTGTCACTTTCCAGTTCCCCCAAGCATCAATAGTCGTGGTGGAAACGTCACAGCAGTTTATGGTGATAAACATCTCATCCTACCATGTGAAGTTTCGGGATATCCAGAACCCACAGTAACTTGGGTTATTAATGGAACAATTAATTGTGGTTAGAAATTCTTAAATAAGTATTAGTACAAATAGACAACAGCTGCTCTAAGTAGAGCTCGCTCTAAGTAGATATCGATTATTATCTATACTAACTAGCTGACTCGGCAAACGTTGTTAGCCATATAAAAAATGAACCACTATGTAACTAATTAAATAACGATTGATCAGTTTTCGACCGGAGAGGAAAAATGATTAATTTACTAAAATGGCAAATTGAAAAAGAAATTGAAAATTTTGTCTAAAAAATAAAAAAAAAATAGGGGTAGACTACCCCTAACACTTAAGGGGATAGATGAAAAATTCTCATAGATACCGGATAAGCACAAAAAATGTCATCAAAATCGGTCAAGCCGTTTCGGAGGAGTATGGCAACGAAAACTGTGACACGAGAATTTTATATATTAGATATTATAAAGCTAAAGAGCTTTTTTGTTTGTTTAAGTCTATCTTTTAAGATTAACCTGCTCAAATGACTCTTAACGCGAACGACGTGGGCATAAGTAGACGTAGCTATAATTTATAAAGACGACATGGAGGTTTGCAGAAACAACTTTTGCATGCCCGAATTAACTCTTCTTATATTATATATAAAAAAATATTATTTTAAGAGAGATATGAAGCAGTATAGCAAGTCATGGTGGAACTATCGGAGTCATATCATATCAATGGAGTCATAATATTTCCAAAAAAAAGATAATAATAACAGAAGTACTTTTCGGATTGTACATACAGTTTCACAAAAGCTAGTGATCTATCTATCTATTTTCTTTATTTTACAGATTCTAATTGTGTTTATGACAAAAACTCGTTAGTGTTAGAAAAAATCACGTTTAATTCTGCGGGTACTTACACGTGTAAAGCGTCTAACGCACTGAACAACGCGGCCATATCGTATGAAGTTTTTGTTACAAGTAAGTATTTTTAAATACATAATCGTCTTATAAATTATACTAAGTTATTTTTTAGATAAAGCTTTTATTATGTATTTAGTAGGTAAGCCTCTTTGAAATAAATAGATACATTTTTGATTTTGGCTGACTCGGAAGCAAATAAGTCGTTCAAACTAATCCCTAAAAATAACGTTTTCTTATTTAATTTAACTGATAAAATAAGAAATTATTTAAGTAATATACTAATATATTACTGTAAAAGTTCTTAATATTAAACATAAATTGAACATTAATATAAAACACTCTTTAACGGTCTGTAGTTTACGCGAGTGGTACACATTTAAATAAAGCAATAACCGTTTAAAACGCGACATATATTGGTTAAACTTATTAGGAAATTATTTTAACCAGGTCCGACGTTTCGGTTGCTTTGCAGCAGCCGTGATCTCGGGCCTCCCCGCGTTTAACTAATATATATCGCGTTTTAAACCGTTGAAGTGTTTTATTTAAACTTTTTAACGGCTTAAAACCTAACATATGTTAGCCTGAACGTCTGACCGAAATTAAAATACGGTTAAAAAGTGTTTAATTTAAATGTGTACTCGCGTAAACCACAGACACTACTTAATATAGGTATTCACTATTTTATAGGTGCACCACAAGCGAAGGCTATAGTTAAAATTGCCATAGTAAAGAATACGAAATCAAGAATAAACTGCAAAAAACCAAAGGGCCCAGAGTACACTGTTAAGTGGTATAAGGTAGTCATACAGACATAATATATTTTACAAATTATATTTTAGCTAGCATGTTGTAATCTTTATCAAATGAGGATCATAAAAAAATATTATTATTTTTACATATTATGGCAGTACCAGCCGTATAATAATTTATTTTAATTCCAGAAAATAATTTTTATATCAGGTTGTAGATATTTTATACGATATGTGAGAAGCTTTATAAGAGTGAGTACAGAAGAGGCGAACACCATGTAGTATAAAAATTTATCGATGTTTAATTGTTCTATATGTATATTACTACTGTCCTAGAAGTCATATTTATAATTATATAAATGTATACGCTCTTAAATATTATAAACGTCTAATGGCTCTAATCAAAAGTGTATTAATAATTCATTTCCTTCAAATAAACATTTTAACGGTATAGAACTTAAACTGAAAATTACGTTTCGGATGCTTTGCAGCGACCGTGGTCTCCCAGTGACCACGACCCTAAGCCGTGCTGTTCTCGTTAACTACAGTCAATAACATAATATTACCAATTATTGTTCGATAACTAATACTTAACACTTGTTTCAGGATGGTAACTTTATAACAAGTAATGTTTATCTTGTATTACAAGGAATACCCCAAGATGAAGGTGTGTATTCCTGTGTTATGAACAATGGAAAGGTTTCGAAGGTTTACGCTGTAAATGTAACTTTATGCGCGTCCCCGACATTTGTTAAAAACGAAGACCTGCTCGTTCCACCTAACACCGTGTTGCGATGTGACGTATTGGACAAGAAGTTTAAGGTGCTATGCTCTAACTAATATATAAAGTTGAAGAGTTTGTTGGTTTGAACGCGCTAATTTCAGGAAGTACAGATTCGAATTTAAAATTTATGTATTTATCGAGGAAGACTATAAAACATCGCTCTTTGAATAATACAAGCGAAGATACAGATCATTGGTAGATAATGGAAGTATGAGAAAATAAATACTGACTCGTTGTTCCAGTAGCAAACAAGATGTTGTCATACATGCGTCGTAATATTTTTAAATATAATAATTTAAACGGTTCAAAACGCAAAAAAATCGTTATCTCATTATCAATTACCACTGCGTTTCACGCCATTAATTTTTTTTTTATGTGAACTACTCGTTTTAATACTAAAATTTAATTTTCAGGTATCATGGTTTAGAGATGGAGTAAGCCTACCTTCCAGAGGTACCACCTTGCGTGCAACAAGTACAGGCAATTACGTATGTATTGTCTCATCACCATGTGGAAAGACATATCGTCAATTCAATGTTATAAAGCCAGGTGTGTATTAGGAATAACTTAATAATACTCCTACCACCCATGAATATCCAGATTTCCAGACGAAGTCCAACATATTTTAGAAAAAATAATGGAACATTAGCCATACACCAATTAGCCCGTCATTTTCTGTCTCAAAGGTCGCGTTGTAACTTGCAAATTCTTATTTATTACATCGAGGCTAAAAACTGTATTGTGTATTTATATTTCATTTGTTTCAGGTTGCATTCTGAACGTCAAAACAGATATAGACATATACAAACCTTTTATAAGAGAAGGAAAACGCCAAGTGTTCTACAGTCTGTATAATACAATAAATAATGCTGTCTATGTAGAGGAAGGGTGGCGTGCGCGGTTACAATGTAAAAATTATATTTCCAACAATAGATTTAACTTCAGCGCATCACTAGACGTCGTATGCGTCAAAGACACGACCTTCCAAGTCAACGGAGTATATGTAGACTTCAAAACTTTGAATTGCGACGCTATTCTGACAACCGAATTGAGAAAGAGCCGGATTAAATGTGGTGAAAAGCGAAGTATGAAGTCCGTGCTGTTTTACTTGGAATCCGGGGCGACCGCGTTGTACGAGGTCTGTTCTAACGGGAACAAACCCGGGTATATCAGACATACGTTATATAAAGCTCACGCTGGTTCGCTGTCGCACCTGTTTCGTGGTGCCGCGGAGTCAAGGTATTCCTGTGATAAGGATGACTCGTTAAGCCCGTATGCTGTGAACCCTGGTGCTGATGATGCGTGCTGCTTCAAGAGTAAGCGGTTATTGGATCCACAAGACATGATACCAGGACAACCTGTCGTATCCACTCTAAATCCTATCAATACAATACCTACCTGGAGCTCGTGCGGTTCAATTGTAAGTATGGTATTATGTTTTGGAGCTGCATATTAGAACTATTAGTTTAGACTTAAAACTCGCATCTTTATATAATAATAAAATTACTTGAATTGTTATGTTTAAATGTTCACTAATATTAATACAACAATGATTTAGAAAGTATGAAAATTCGATAAGACAGGCGGCATTAGACAGACATTTCCTTGTACTGCTGCAGTAGTAGTTTCCTTGTAGTGTAGTAGCAATTACTAGAAAACAAAGGAGCTTGCAAACATAAAAGTTGTGGGTTTGATCCCCCACCAGGTCCAACATGTTTGTTTTTATTTATATATTTTTTAAAACACGTTAGACTTCGTCAGGAAATCTCGATATTGTATGTCTGGGGTATGTTACCTTCCATGAAGGGAACCCAATGTTTGCCTGTGTTCTATAATAGCGTTTCGGTTCTGTAGTCTGCCAAATATATGCTAAAATAGTTTATCTCTATCTCTGTCTATTTTATTTTAGTTTGTGTCCCCTTGATGGAATTTAAATAATGTCTAAAATTTCCTATCTTTTAGAATTGGGATGATTTGGGCCGCCAAACTCGAGAGCTTACTAGATATACTTACGCAGAAGAAATGTTACATGACTGGGTGGGTGTTATCTACCCTCAAAACATTGATAAGCGAATAATGAATAATCTTGCGGGAAATAGAATAATTGACTCTACGAATCGTAGCGCACCGTGGTTTTTGTGGAAGGTAAGGCCTCATCTTTATATCTTTGAAATTTGAAAGCATCTCAATATTTGCTTCATAAGATTTAGAAAATGGAAAACAACGTAAGATACTGGGCCTGTTTTATCTAGATGGGGTAGATACTTATTTGTGTCTTTTGCATTGATTTATTTTATGTATAGGCAAGTACTTAATGCCGTGTACAAGAACATTTTTTGTGTCGCCCGGACTCAAATCCGCTGTCCATTGACGGCGTACAGTTATTTGTACATCATGTCGACAATACGTCTGTTACAAGTACATTACATATGCGTTTTCGCAGAGATGTACTGTTTATGTTAAAACAAAAAATATTTTAATATTCCATTTCCTTAAACCAATTCCAACCAACCAACCAATATTCCATTCCAAGTTGTATTAAACTCATGCAACTGGTACATATTACATTAAGTCTTACTTATTTGTTTTAAATTTCACTTCAACGGTTTAAAACGTGAATTTTATTTGTTCGTTGGTTCATTGCTTTGAAGCAGCTAAAGCCACCCAGAGACCAAATAAGAAATTAATATAGTTCCTGTTTCGAACCGTTAAACATTGTTTTAATAAAATTATTTTGCTTCTCTGTTACGCAGGTAGTTCAAAATATTAGGAAAAAGTCTGCGGTTGCATTTCTGCACGTCATTGCACCGGGTGTCAAGACCGAATCCGAAGCGAAAGCTTTCGTTTTATGTCAAAATATTTGTGACGAAATAAAATGGATTAATAATGAAAGTTGGAAAGACCCTCAAAGGGGCTACATCTACTGTTGCAGTGTGAGAGAATTTCACGCTGTTTTTAGCTATGTTGCTCTTATAAACGGTGCAACCACGGTTTATACTGACCTCTTCTCAAAGAATTAGAAAGAATAATATAGACTTTTCAATGTTAACTATCGTTATTTTAATTATATGTCGATTTGATTTCATATTTTCTTCAATTTGTAATTACGGCAAATACTGTGTTTGTTCATTTACTTAAAACCCATATCCCGACTTTTTAAATACGAAGTACATTAAAACCTATATCTATATATAGTATAAACCAGTTGTAAATAAATATATTGCGCCTGATCATAAATAAGGAGCAATTTTTGTAATACAATTTGAATGTCAGAGATTTTTAAAAGTTTGAATGAAAAAAAAAACAAATAAATGAGATAATTGTATGAGATCATATAATGCAGATAATTCACTCATGAAAATAATTCAAACTTTTATGTACCGTGCGTACACAGTTGCGTCCTGCTAACATCATAGATAAAATGCATTACGACAAGGAGAACGACGACAAGAATAAACACTGAGAATAAAACGTACTAATAAAAAAGACATGAAATAAGTCTCACAATTATGACTTTATTACATTACCCCTCATGGAGACTTCGCGCAGATGTTGCAGCACTGTTTTTCTTTGTTCCATTTGTCATGGTACCATCCCAATTTTTTAAGGGTTAGGTTATATGGTACCAAACACTTTAACGGTTTAAAACCAATAGTTAACTTTTTGAAATTTAACTCGGCCCACGTCGCGTTTTAACCTTAAAGTGTTTTATTTAAAGTACTATGACAGTAACTATAGACAGTATTGGTTAGGTTAGTTCTAGCATTGACTGGTTTGAGAGTAGGTTTTTCTGGAACAACATTTTTAAAGTGGAGACAATAAGAGAGCAACAGGGTCTTTTTTAAGATACTGAAGTTAAAAGAAATGTCAACAATATTTTTACATACTTATTCACCACTATAATTATTGTAATGTGTAAGAGGAGATAATTAAGAGGAAATGATGAGTAAATTTAAAAGTATGACGTTATTTAAATCACGCCTAATCACAGGATGAACTCGCGGCCCACCCGAAAGAATTATACAGCAGATTAAAACATCAGACGATAAACGTAGTTTAACGATACTTATCGTGGTAACATTTATATGAGATAGTTATTACAGAGTTAAAAACATTTATAATTATATTATATTAAAATATACAGTCAGTGACAATATAAATAGAACAGATATAAAGGAAAGTGATAAATAGTAAACAGTCGCGTTAACAACAGTGGTAGAGATGTTGTTTAAAAAATATTGCCTCGCTAAACTATTTACAATTTTATTTGTTAATGAAGTTCTAAGCGTAGACAATAAAGTAAGCTTAACGTTCGTCATTGATGATACCTATTCTATGGACAAAGAAATTGAACAAGTGAAGGCGAGAACTAACGAAGTGTTTGATGCAGTTCTTGATACAAATTCGTCATTAATAGAAAACTTTGTGTTGGTGACATTTAATGATCCGAGTTAGTAAGATTAAAATTATATTAAATCATTAATAAGAAGGCTTAGAAATTTCAAATTATTATATTATTTATTCTATCGGGACAACCAGAAGGCCGGGTGATAGTCCACACCATAGCTACCATTTCACCCATTTCCTCATTGCATAGGTTTTTGGGTTATCCAACACACGTTCCCCTCACTTTGGTTTGCTTGCAGAATTTTACTATTTGTTCCATCTTTAAATCTTTGATGTCAATTTAAAATTAAAGAACGTTTCAAATTCATTAATTATTCATGAATGAAAATCACCTATACCTCATAATCTATAAATATTCAGTTGAAGTATACTGTAGATAGTAGTATAACAAATGAAAAATACTACTAGCCTTAGAGTAAAAACCTTAGAAGAATTAGAGAGAGGATTAGTCTCATAATATGATTGGCTTCTATATTGTTTAATTCTTACCATAAGTTTAAGGAAACGTCACTTAGTTAAATATAAGTAAGGAATAAAAAGTATATGCTATAGTTATAATGACTTTTGACATCTGAAGTAGTTAATTGGTTCAATAGTTCTCTTTATGAAAAAAAGATGGGAATCAATAAATTTTCTAAGGTATTTGAGATCAAGTTATTTTTCATCCTTGAAAGAAACTTCTTGCAAACGAACGAAATGCAGACAAGTTGGAGTAAGGTCGCAGAGTTCCAATTGCACTCTTTCAACTCTTTTAGGAACAGAGGGCAAACGAATTTGGTTTTAGGTTGTTAAGTAACTTGATTCTTTTAATATGATTTGCTATTGGGAAAAGAATACTATACATAATCATTTGCCTAAATATAAAGAGACTATAGTGAAAGAAACAGGGGACTAGTTCACAAATCATACCAGATATATACGAGTAGAGAGTACCCAATAACGTTTTAATTTTTTATAGCTGCAATGTTATGGGCAGATACTACAGATAGGATAGAATTTAAAGCAAAATTAGACGATATAGTCACAGATGGTGGTGACGACTGTCCTGAGATGGCGATGGAAGGTATATTACTGGCTGTCGAGAATAGTCGACCAAATTCCCTATTTTATGTCATGACTGACGCTTCAGCAAAAGATTACCTTATGTACGATGAAGTTATACGGAGAGCGTTGAAGAAGTTTATACAGGTATGTGTCTTAGGTTATATTACGTAGTTTTAGAAGGGATCGTTAGCGTAATGTAGCAATGTATGGCTAATAATCAACCGGAGGAGGATTTTTGATTCCCAGGTCCAATGTTTCTAATGTCTCTGGTGAAAGTCTGGAAATCTGGATATTAAAGACTGGTAGAAATATAGAAATTCCGTCCGGCTTACCAACCACCGTCCAAAGACGAAAAAGCTGTGAAGTTTAACCACGTTTCGGTTCAATCTGTGGATTTCCGAATTTTCAAAGCCAAAATAGGTCGATAGCGTATCTTCTTAAGATACTATACGCTCGGGTAATTTATCTACCATCAAGAGAACCCCGTGCTTCTCTGTCCTCCCCTATCATTAAAACGAAACTAGTGATTTTTATTTTGAAACAGTGACTAGTAGTTTTGTAAACCATATTATACTTTTACATAGAACCCAAAAATGTTTCATAACCATTTTAAATCTTAGTCAGATCTGCAATAATTTTTAGTATAAGTGTCTTAGATTCTTTGTAAACTATGAATGTCCTATTGGCGAGGACAAAATTAAACTTAGAACCCGCTATGCTATTTCAATGCCAGTGGGTGTGCTCTCACGGCTATTGTAAATTAGTATTTTTAACAGAGACCGACGACTTCGATTAACCTCTTAGTATGAGGTTGATAACACCGGTGACTTAACTTCGGACTGATACAAAAATAAAAACTTTCATTTTACCTTACGTTCTATTATTTTCAAAACGTTTTTAAACTGAACCGTTAGGTACAGGAAAATGACTTTTATTAGACGAGGTGTAATTCTTAATAACGGTCTTTTTCAGGTCACTTTTCTATTGACCGGTAGTTGTTCTGATGAAGAAGATCCCGACTATCAAGTTTACCACAAAATAGCAAAAGCCACAGGTGGAGAAGTATTCAATTTGGAGAAGGAAGAAATTAAGAAGGTATATACTGGCATCATTATATTTTCATATGAGAATTGATGTACATTTAAACGTTGGTAGAAATCTATTTGTTTAAAAAAATGCATCTGTATTAGTCATCGGTGGAAAAACATCCCAACGAATGCTACTTGCTTGGAGTTTCCCTTTTAGATAAGGGAAGAATTATTTATAAAAGCAGATACAGGTATCCATATTTACAACACGTATTTTTGTAATTTACAGTTTTTCTTTTGAAACTTAGTGTAATAAGGGGAGTTTCCAACGATGACAGAACCACTAATAACGAAAACAGTAAATTTTGAGATATTCATTTTTTGTTTTGAAAAGATAATATGTAAAGTATTGGGGAAATAAGGACTAACACATTCAGATTTAATAAAATAATGGTTTTCGCGTTTTGAAACTGTCGAAAATTTTATAAGGCGGCCATTTTTCAAAGCTTTTTGGTTGTTCGAGCTGTTTGTTAGTCGTAACTGAGAAATTGTTGTCGACGTTTCATCACTAACTTTCACCATCCACTCGTGATGAAAACCCATCATCTCAAAAGGCCAAGAAGTTGTTATTTTTTATAATGATAGGGGAGGACCGAAAAGCATGGGGTTGGCTTGATGATGGTAATGGGATGGATGGAATACTCCAGCCTATAACATCTTAACAAATTGCGCTGTCAACCTATTTTGGCTTTGGATATTGGGAAAACCACAGACTGAAACTGAAATGTGATTAAACTTCACAGCATTTTCATCTGTGGACGGTAGTTCATGACCCGGACGGAATTTCAAAATTATGCTTTTGAAAAATAATTGTAGAAATGTATTCCAGATACTAGATTACATATTAGAGATGATCGCGGACAAAAAAGTGACATTACGTAATCAGAATTTCCCATTGGACAATCCTGAAAATGAGATAACAGTAAGTTTTTTTTTTAATATAAATATAAATAAATACTTAGATAAAATCGTTCCTACTAAGTAGGTCCTGAAAAACGTACATCCCCATCCTATTGTTTAGTAATCATATAAAACACGACGTGACAACTTTGGCAGCAGCCATTTTTAATTCTATACTATAGATATAAAAATGAAGAGTTTTATATATATGGTTTGTTAGTTTAAACGCGTTAATCACAGGAACTACGTGTTCAAATTGAAAATTATTCTTCATTATGGGTTTTCGAGGCGTACGCTGCAAAAACGGCTCAATTTACTCAAAATATAATATGTATAAAAGAATGATTCCTCTTTAAATTATATAAAAAAGCGACGCTATGTGTCTATATTTTAAGGTTAACTTGCAAGAACGACGAGAGGGGACGCGACAGGTAACAGCTTAAGTTTATAAAGATGAAGGGGTTTGTAAAAACGAATTAGGATGCCCAAAATAACGATTCACGCGGACAAAGTCGCTGACACAGCTTGTGTTGTAATAAAAGTGAACATGTATTTGGAACTTTTTAGGACTATTGTGGGTGGACTTTTATAGGTTTGTTCTATCTATTTTATAGTTTTCAGTTGACAGCAAAGTGAATAAAGTAACTTTATCTTTGGTTGGTCCATACCCTTCGTTTATCGTCCAAGATGATGAAGGAAACAAAGTTCCGACTACGCCCATAGTAACTACAAACAGAATTAGTGTAAGTATGAAAACATTAATGTTTTTCACATGCTATTTGCACGTGAAGGCACTATATAATTTAAAGATCGAAAATAAATTGAAAAAATTTTCGACTCGGGCAGGACTTGAACCGGCATTGTCAGCGTTCCGTCAAAAATAAGTTTAACTAATTTATATCACGTATTGTCTTGAGTTTATGCAAGTGGAATAGGTACACTTAAATAGAATACTTTTAACGGCTTCAAACACAAATTTATTATCATAGTTAGTGTCGCCCCGTGGCCACGACTGCTGAAAACATCGGTCCGTGGTTGAAATAAGTTGTAAATACCTTAACTAATACATTCCACGTTTTTAACCGTTAAAAGTGTTTTATTTAAATGTGTACGTACTACTCGCAGTAAAGTACAGATAGAACTATGTGTATTAAATATACAGTAAGGATAGAAATGTAGCTTAAGCTGCTTTTTTTTGTCCTCCGGCCTCCTGTCCAATTGTCATCCGTCCGTCCGTTTCACAGATACTTAAAATGGAACCAGTTATCCCCGGTAATTATAAAGCGGTTATTTTAAGCACTAACAGTGAAAACCTTCATATCAAAGGGTCATCAGACATTTCATTCAATTATAAATTTTCAACGCTACCGCCCACTACGAAACTGGATACTGTAACACGACCGATCGCAGGTATGACTTATTTCGGTACAATTTACTAAGTAATATTAATGGAAGTTGGAGTCCTAACTGAGTATTTTTTGTACAGAAAAGGACCTTTAAAATTACGTTCTTATTTATTTATAATATATAAACCAAAACCCCTTAATCTTACATATTCTTTTTTAACAATCTAAAGCCTTTAATTCTTCCAATCCGTGTGTGTAATAAGACTTAGAGTACCAAGAAATAATAAAACAAACGCATCATTGAATAGCATTAAAAATTAAAATAAAACTATTATTACTCCAGGTGCTGAAACATACCTAATGATAGAATTCTCCAATGATGAAGATGATATGAAACTTGAAACTGCCAATCTACTAGATATACAGCATAATCCTATACAAGACTTAGCATTGCATATAGTCAATGAAAAAGAAAAATTATACGTAACAGATAAATTTGTATCTCCCCATGAAATGTTTACAATAGCTGTAAGTGTGATTGCCTCGTTGGTGTCGTAGTTAGTAAATTTAACAAATCGTGGGTTCTAGCCCGGGGTAAGACAAAATGATACTGGTATTTTAAATATTTCCAAAATGTTATCACTACCGTGTCTTGGAGAGTTCGTTAAATCTAATAACGGTGATCGTAAAAGACTGCTAACCCACACTGTAGAAACATCGTGGGTTTAACCTGTAAACTATCGTTTAACTGTGAAAATCATTATCCCGCTTTGGCGTATCAATATTTGGTTTCAGATAAATGGCGTAGTAATAGCCACTAACGAAATAATTACACGACTGTCGACAACAGCGGTTTTACCCTTAGATCCAACAACAGGTAATATTGTATTTGGTCTTAAAGTATGTGGAATGGTATAGTCTGCTGCATACGAATCTTAGTGTGCGATATTTATTCCAGTCTGATGCCCTGCATCAGTCTGATAAAGTATGGCTGTAAATAGAAGTAATAAGTAAATTACAAATATACGAGTTCACCCCATTCTCCTCACTGAAGAAACGGAATTTATCAAAGGGTACCAATGCTACTTCAAATAAAGACCATTTAGTTTAATTCGGTGTATTGAATATTACAAAATAGCATGGTTTTCTGTTTATTCGTTAAAGTCAACAATTTTATTAACACGGGTTTTGTTTGAAACTTTTACTTGAACCTGGCTTATTAATTGCCATACGTAATAAATTAGAAAAGTGAAACGTGAAAGTATTTTTTGCAAATGTGTTTTTAGAGATCCAAAACGAATTTCAACCAATCATAGAAGAGATACGAATAGATGACATTGAAAGCGATGAAATGGATGTAAAATGCAAAGTTTTAGGCAGTCCTGAACCAGAAATAGTTTGGACCGATAACAGTGGATTATCTGTTAACGGAAAAGTAAAATGTCACATGCTTATTTCTAGATATCTTAATAAAATTTAAATAAAATAAAATTTTCGTTATTTAATTCAATTTAAGTATTTATTCCCTCAGCACTTAACAAATTCCTTTCAGATGTCACTCGTAGAAGTTTCAAACTATATAAGCGTACTCAGAATTAATAAAAAGGACGATAACACATTTACTTGTACAGCAACAAATACATTAGGATCTGATGTCAAAACTATTGCTTACAACGCACCTTGGCAAGTTCCACTGATTGACAAAAATAAGTCAAAAGTTTTTGCTACTCAAGGAGACAGTTTGGATATTATTTGCAGGTTTTTAGTTCAGTTATTATTATTTTATATATTTAGTCTTTTATATGTTCTACATGATTGATTAGTTAACTCTTAAGTATTTAAGCTTAGATAAAAAAAACGGTTAAAAACGCGATATACATTATTTGACTGAATCGTGACATGTACTGCAACTAATTTTATTATACTACACCTATACATTTTACATTTTAAATTGATAAAAGTGTTTATGTAAATGTGTGCATGCTCGCGTAAGTTACAAATGATTCGATCATACTAAGTATTTTTTTAATTTCTCTATTTAATCTGTAGATACTGAAATTGCTACTTAAACTATGTTTCATGTATGAGCCCATAAATGGGCTCTGCCTGTAATCTTAAATTCATATTGTTTTTAGGGTATTGCAGGGTAATCCGAAACCAACTTTCAAGTGGTCTTTTAAGCCCCGCGATACAGGCACGTTTTTAGACCGAAGTGAAACAGGAAATTCAGTACATTTTGACAAATTGGAATTAGTTGATGATGGTACTTATGCATGCGAAGCACGAAATTTGGAAGGGCACGACTATTGGGTGTTAGACGTTTTTGTAGAATGTAAGTTCAAGTAAAATTTTTTTAGATATATATTGGTAACATTTTATCCATACCCAGCAATCGAACTGTGGAATATTAAAGTTAGTCACTTAACTCACAAATAATAATAATTGATAGTTTATTGTTTGAAAATTTCAGATCCTCCGTTTTTCACATCAGCTGTGGCAGATAAAATAAACAGTCCCGAGGGAACGGTTGTGACGCTGTATTGCCCTGTTAAAGGAATACCAGCACCATCGATTCAGTGGTACTTTGAAGGGGTCGAAATAAAAGCCGGTGGAAAATATGAATTACTTGCTGATAATAATTTAAGGTATACATATATATGTATATATATATAGATAATAGACCTGTAAAAGGTTGACAAAAGCAAAAATCGAAAACAATTTGATCTTCTTTAAAAAAAAAATATTTTTTAGCTTTAGCGGCACTATCCAGGATACTGGAGTCTATAAATGTGAGGCATCAAATAATCTTGGTGGAACGAGCAATGAAATTCAAGTAAATATACACGCCCGGTGTAAGTATGTGAAATTATTTCAACTTAAACGGATCTAAACAATAATTCTCCTGGTCTGTTGTCTTAACGAAAATGATGAGTGATGACGAACAAGCAGAGTAGAATTAAACAATTATAAAGAAAGGTTTTCTGTCTGTAAACAAATGTTTGAAATGGTGGAAAAAATAATCTTATATTCATATATACAGATGTTTAAAAATTAACGTAAAAGTTTGGGCAAAAAGAAGTAAAAGCAATAGTAATAATGGATAAAGCCGGTAGGCATAGGTAAAAATTTAAACTTTTGATATTGTAGCTACGGCGAAATTAATACCTCCAAATACGAAGATTTTTACTTTGGATACTGGCCGTGAAACTACTTTGGATTGTGAGACGGAAGGATTACCAGTACCCGACATCAAATGGCATTACACAGGTTTTGACGGATGCTGCCAAAAAGATTTGCTGTATGTATATTACACTATCTAGCCAAATACATTCACTCTTTGTGTGACGTTCACAAAGGAAATTTTAATATGTTCACCCCAACCTTAGTCTTTTAAACACGTTCTATATTCAAATATCCAACCACCTGTTGAGTGGCAGGTTCCAATGATTAACGAAAGGCCGTTCTCAACGTTTCGCCATCACGACCGGACGGCATCATCGAGATATGTTGTCAGCTCCTAGATTAAATTAATTAGAAGAATTAATTCCTCCAGCTCCAGCAAGGATATGCTGAGGTGCCAATGAAATATGTTTTACAATCGAAATTTTGATTTTTACGCCGTTACAGGCCAGATACTGGTAAACACTCATTAACTTTGAAGAGCGTCGAAGTATCTGATGCTGGATATTATATTTGCTCTGCACACATCGGTGATAAATGGGACTCCATTAATTATGAAGTACATGTAGAAGGTATTTTGCCCTTCTAGACTTTTTATTATGTGATTGATACTTTCTTTAAATTTATTTTTGAATGTAATCACACTTCTATATATGTGTTTAATCAATCAGATTTATATACGGTACTTGGTCACATCTCATTTTTACTACGTAATATTTAAAACCTCTTTTAAACATTATGTAATGTTAGGCACCAAATTTCAGTTTTAATAAATCATTAACGATTAGGTACTTTATGTGTAAAATTTTAAAATTTGAATTTTTTTCAGATATCCCAAAAGAATTCCAACCAACCGTTGAAGAAATAAAAGTAGATGATATTTCAAGCGGTGACAAAGTTATAAGGTGTACCGTAAAAGGCAATCCTGAACCAAATGTAATTTGGACGGACAAAAATGGATTGTCTTTAAATGGAAAAGTAAAAATAATGATAATTAAATCAGGATTGTTTCTTTTTGTTTTGATCTAATTTTAAACAAATCATATTTTATTATTAATACAGAAATCACCTAAGGCAGTTTTTACCTACATAAGTGAACTTAAAATAAATAAAAAAGACGATAACACATATACGTGTACGGCAAGTAATAAATTAGGATCACATTTTAAAACAGTTGCTTATAATGCACCTCTGGAAGCCCCTTTGATTGACAAAAGTGAGACAAGAGTTTTTGCCAAGAGAGGATATAGTTTGGACATTTTTTGCAGGTTTTAATTCATTGATACTGTATTATTATAAGAATATGAATAATTACATATGTATACATTTAAATAAAACACTTTAACGGTTTAAAACGCGATATATTAGTTTAATTGTCTCCCCGTGACCACGGCTGCTGCAAAGCATCCGAAACGTCGGGCCGAAGTTAAAAATCATTTTCAAATAAGTTTAACTAATATATCGCGTTTTAAACCATTAAAGTGTTTTATTTAAATGTGTACTACTCGCGTAAACTATAGACAGTATCTACATACGTATATACAAACAATTCAATCCTTTTTCTTTGGATTTATAACGTTATTCTTGAACCTTCTTGCAGTACTAACTACTAAGACTTATCTATAAATGAAAATAGATTGACCACGTCTGCTATTCGGTGTCTATTCATAGACTCGTGTTATTTTAGGATCATAAAGGATAATCCAAAACCTACTTAAAAATGGTCTTTTGAATCGATAAAAGTGTTTATGTAAATGTGTGTATGCTCGCGTTAGAAATGATTCTTGAACGGTTTAAATTTATACTAATCGCGTAAACTACATACCTATTTAATTTTTCAAACTTCTGTATTAATCTGTAGATACTGAAATTACTACTTAAACTATGGTTTCATGTATGGGCTCTGCTTATAATCATAAATACGTGTCGTTTTTAGGATATTGCAGAGTAATCCAAAACCAACTTTCAAGTGGTCTTTTAAGCCTCGCGATACAGGCACGTTTTTAGACCGAAGTGAAACAGCAAATTCAATCAATTTCGACAAACTGGAATTAGGTGACGATGGTACATATGCCTGTGAAGCACGAAATTTGGAAGGGCACGACTATTGGGTGTTAGACGTTTTTGTAGAATGTAAGTTTAGTAAAAATTTTGTTAGATATATATTGGTAACATTTTATCCATACCCAGCAATCGAACTGTGGAATATTAAAGTTAGTCACTTAACTCACAAATAATAATAATTGATAGTTTATTGTTTGAAAATTTCAGATCCTCCGTTTTTCACATCAGCTGTGGCAGATAAAATAAACAGTCCCGAGGGAACGGTTGTGACGCTGTATTGCCCTGTTAAAGGAATACCAGCACCATCGATTCAGTGGTACTTTGAAGGGGTCGAAATAAAAGCCGGTGGAAAATATGAATTGCTTGCTGATAATAATTTAAGGTATACATATATATGTATATATATATAGATAATAGACCTGTATAAGGTTGACAAAAGCAAAAATCGAAAACAATTTGATCTTCTTTAAAAAAAAAATATTTTTTAGCTTTAGCGGCACTATCCAGGATACTGGAGTCTATAAATGTGAGGCATCAAATAATCTTGGTGGAACGAGCAATGAAATTCAAGTAAATATACACGCCCGGTGTAAGTATGTGAAATTATTTCAACTTAAACGGATCTAAACAATAATTCTCCTGGTCTGTTGTTTTAACGAAAATGATGAGTTATGACGAGCAAGTAGAGTAGAATTAAAAAATTATAAAGAAATGTTTTCCGTCTGTAAACAAATGTTTGAAATGGTGGAAAAAATAATCTTATATTCATATATACAGATGTTTAAAAATTAACGTAAAAGTTTGGGCAAAAAGAAGTAAAAGCAATAGTAATAATGGATAAAGCCGGTAGGCATAGGTAAAAATTTAAACTTTTGATATTGTAGCTACGGCGAAATTAATACCTCCAAATACGAAGATTTTTACTTTGGATACTGGCCGTGAAACTACTTTGGATTGTGAGACGGAAGGATTACCAGTACCCGACATCAAATGGCATTACACAGGTTTTGACGGATGCTGCCAAAAAGATTTGCTGTATGTATATTACACTATCTAGCCAAATACATTCACTCTTTGTGTGACGTTCACAAAGGAAATTTTAATATGTTCACCCCAACCTTAGTCTTTTAAACACGTTCTATATTCAAATATCCAACCACCTGTTGAGTGGCAGGTTCCAATGATTAACGAAAGGCCGTTCTCAACGTTTCGCCATCACGACCGGACGGCATCATCGAGATATGTTGTCAGCTCCTAGATTAAATTAATTAGAAGAATTAATTCCTCCAGCTCCAGCAAGGATATGCTGAGGTGCCAATGAAATATGTTTTACAATCGAAATTTTGCTTTTTACGCCTTTACAGGCCAGATACTGGTAAACAGTCATTAACATTGAAGAGCGTCGAAGTATCTGATGCTGGATATTATATTTGCTCTGCACACATCGGTGATAAATGGGACTCCATTAATTATGAAGTACATGTAGAAGGTATTTTGCCCTTCTAGACTTTTTATTATTTGATTGATACTTTCTTTAAATTTTGTTTTGAATGTAATCACACTTCTTTATATGTGTTTAATCAATCAGATTTATATACGGTACTTGGTCACATCTCATTTTTACTACGTAATATTTAAAACCTCTTTTAAACATTATGCAATGTTAGGCACCAAATTTCAGTTTTAATAAATCATTAACGATTAGGTACTTTATGTGTAAAATTTTAAAATTTAAATTTTTTTTCAGATATCCCAAAAGAATTCCAACCAACCGTTGAAGAAATAAAAGTAGATGATATTTCAAGCGGTGACAAAGTTATAAGGTGTACCGTAAAAGGCAATCCTGAACCAAATGTAATTTGGACGGACAAAAATGGATTGCCTTTAAATGGAAAAGTATAAATATCATATTGAAGCAGAATTGTTTATTTTTGTTTTTGATGTAATTAAACTAATCATGTTTTATTATTAATTCAGAAATCACCTGTGGAAGTTTTTACCTACATAAGCGAACTTAAAATAAATAAAAGAGACGATAACACATATACGTGTACGGCAAGTAATAAATTAGGATCACGTTTTAAAACAGTTGCTTATGATGCACCTCTGGAAGCCCCTTTGATTGACAAAAGTCAGACAAGAGTTTTTGCCAAGAGAGGAAATAGTTTGGACATTTCTTGCAGGTTTTAATTCATTGATACTATATTATTATAGGAATATGAATAATTACATACATATATACAGACAATTGAATCATTTTTCTTTGGATTTATAACTTTACTCTTGAACCTTCTTGCAGTACTAACTACTAAGACTTAAATCTATAAATGAAAATAGATTGACCACGTCTGCTATTCGGTGTCTATTCATAGACTCGTGTTATTTTAGGATCAAAAAGGGTAATCCAAGTCCTACTTTAAAATGGTATTTTAAACCCCGAGACGCGGGAACGTTTTTACACCGAAGCGGAACTGAAAAATTGGTACACATTGATAAATTGGGATTAAGTGATGATGGCACTTACGCATGTGAAGCTCGGAATTCAGAAGGAAGGGATTATTGGACGATAGATGTTTTTGTTGAACGTATGTATAGAGAGCTATCTGACATTTTAGCCTAACATCACCACGTCCAACCTGTGTCGACTTTGACATTTGGTCAAGCTAGATCACGGTGTTTTCTTTTCCTACCTGACCAAACTTCAAGATAAAAATAATAAATAGTTGTTTATATTTTCCAAATTACAGATCCACCGTTCTTTACATCAGTAGTGGAAGATAAAGTAAACAGCCTCGACGGAACAATTGTCACTTTAAATTGCCCTGTTAAGGGAACGCCGGCACCATCAGTACGATGGTACCGTAACGGTGTCGAAATAACCAGTGGAGGAAAATATAAGCTTTTTACTGATTACAGTTTAAGGTCTGTAATCATAAAAAATAAAAACGAAGTATAAAAGATATTTGAAGACTATCCTCTCATATCTTTAATATTTAGCACATCTCTTTATATTATGTTTATTAAGTAATGATACAATACAGGGCTATATTCTTAAAGCTATTTACATACTTTCAGCTTTATTAGCACCATTCTTGACACTGGAGACTATAAATGTGAGGCATCTAATAAATTCGATACAACAAGCACTGAAATTCATGTAAACATACTCGCTACATGTAAGTTTATTTAATATTATATTTTTTTGCATTACTACTTATCATAGTATCGACAATTATAAACTGATGTAATTTAGGGGTTTCTATAAAGTTTAATACTATTCGTAATTACTAAAACTAATACCACAGCTATATTTTTTATTAACTAATATACTGTATACTAGATATTACCCTGCTTTGTATTTATCTTTCAAGCTCAGTTTTCAAATTTTAATGCGCCTCGACATATTTAGAATTGTTTGACTCTTCGATCTTCTAACTGACTAAATGTTTTCGATTAATATTTACCGGTTTTGAATTCTTGAATTTAGTTCTATGCTTTTTGGATATTACAAAGAAAATGTATTTGTAACGTTATTTATTCACTAGCTACGGCAAAACTTATACCTCCAAACACGAGGGTTTTTACTTTGGAAATTGGACACACTGAAACTTTGGATTGTAAAACAGAAGGTCTACCTGTGCCTGACATTAAGTGGCATTACACAGGTTTCGATGGATGCTGCAAAAAGGATTTGGTGTATGTATATTGTTCTATCTGATCTTCGCTCTAAGTAATTTTTATTGTAACACCTGTCTTTGAAAGGAGAAACAATAGTCAAGTAATATAATTATTATATAATATAATATTTTAATGTATAAGATTTTGTCAATGACGTGTGTTAAGGAAAATTTTTCTATACTATTTATATTAATGCTTCCGCTTTGTAAAGCTTCTTAGTTAAATACTGTTTATAGTTTACGTTAGTAGTACATATTTAAATAAAACACTTTAACGGTTTAAAACGCGATATATTAGTTAAACTTATTTGAAAATATGGAGAGCTGCCCGTGACCACGGCTGCTGCACTTCCGAAACGACGGACCGAAGTTAAAATTCATTTTCTAATAAGTTTTACTAATATATCGCGTTTTAAACCGTTAAAGTGTTTTATTTAAGAGCTTCTTAGTTTTCGAGCTATTGCGCGTTCCTGGACTTATCTAAAAAAGGAAGATTTAATTCTCTTGTGATAAAAAAAACGTGGAGAACCAATAACAACGACCTAATATATGGTAGAAATAACTAACCTATATGGTGGTAGAAATATTAAAATTTCATTCGGGTCCACCACCGATAGCGGAAAACCTGTAAAATTTACTCGAGTTTCAGTTGCAGTCTCTCATCTCTCTCAGACACACGAGTGTCTGTCCTTTTCTGTCATAAAAATGCAACAAATTTTACGATTACAGGCCAGATAATGGTAAACAGTCATTAACATTGGATCAAGTGAAAGTTACTGATGCTGGTTATTATGTCTGCTCTGCCCACATCGGTGGTAAATGGGACTCCATTAATTACGAAGTTCATGTAATAGGTATTGACCAAATTTAATTTTCTAGATTTATTTGTTTGTTTTTTATTCTTTTCTGAATTTAAATATCGCGAGCTTTTAACCTTCTAGTTACTCAGTAGTAGCCTGCTGGTATTTCCTGATCGAAACAATTCAAGTCCAATAAGGATGAACACCCAATCTCGTGCTTAGTGCAATATTTTAGCAATTTTTTCAATTTTATTTGTTTATGTATTTCTCTGAACTTACAAATGCTTCAATTTTGGCCTTCCAAAGCAAGTTAGCAGTCTCTATTGCCTATCGTTACTAAATTAATGGTAACTTGTAGTTTGAAGAATTACATTTTTCTTATGCTACATATAATTTGTAAGTGTTCCTGGCATAAATCATTTTTTTTTAATAGCGAGGTGTTTCTTTTAAGGCCTACCATGGATAGAGAATAAGTTAATTTCTAAAGAGCTTACAGCAGTTGACGGCGATTTGGTTTTGACAATACCTTGTCAGGCGTTTGGTTATCCTACACCTGCCATCATTTGGTTAAGAGAATCATATCCTCTTTCGTTGGGTAAGTTTACCTGTGTTATAAGTGGAATATCTACTGGACGTGGAAAATCGGGTTTTCTACCAGATAGACAGACGACTTAGGTAAAGAGACTGAAAAATGTTGGACTCAAGTTGTGGCTGACCGACAGTAATACGAGTGTTTAGGTGTACTGTACACACTGTACAATATTAAATTCAAATTTCGCTTACATTTTTAAAAACTTGACTAGCTTGTCTTCTTCGAATTTCATTAAATTTCAAAATCTACCAATCTATCTGATTTCTAAGCCGCAGAAATTATTAAATATTAATATTGTAGGTAACAACGTCTATGTCGACAACGGTGTGTTAATAATAAAGGACGTAAGCAAAAGTCTTGCTGGAAGCTATACATGCGTGGCCAGTAATAAATATGGCAAAGCAAGTGAAACGTTCGAAGTAAATGTTTTACGTAAGTAATATCGCGCAATTGTTTTACTCAAGTTTTTTTTTAGCGGAATCTACTTATCAATGGAAATTTAGATCTGAATCAAAATTATCTGAGCTTTGTACTGTCAACCTACGTTTTCTTGACAGTGCTAAGAATTTTCAACTTAAAATAATACATCTGTATTAGGATAGATGTCCACCTGCGTGGCGCAATAGCCAAACATGAGATGATTTTGATTTGATTCCTGCAAAATCAAATACTGTGTGTAGTTTACGCGAGTAGTACACATTTAAATAAAACACTTTAACGGTTTGAAACTTGATATATATTAGTTAAACTTATTTGAAAATTATTTTTACCTTCGGCCCGACGTTTCGGATGCTTTGCAGCAGCCGTGGTCACGGGAAGACTAAACATGGAGGTTGTCTCTGACGTCAAAGTAAAAATTGCTACTCTAGCGCCGTCTGTTCCGTTGAAGTTGATATTTGGCGAAACAAAGCATCCGAAACGTCGGGTCGCAGTTAAAAATAATTTAAAATCAGTTAAACTAATATATATATCGCGTTTCAAACTGTTTAAGTGTTTTATTTAAATATTGCAAAATCCTATGTTATATTAAAAAAGTATCTTTTCTAGCTTCACCAAAACCTGACTCGATTACAATGGAGATGTCCATAATGAAAGACAAAATGACGACCATACCATGCGATTTGCCACATTCCCCAGTGGATAAATTACGATGGTATAAGGTATGTTGCTAGAAAGTACTAAGTAAAACGTATTTCATAGGTCAATGGTTATATGCTTTGCCTACTATTGCGTTATCGGAGAGGCCCAGGGCTTGAATCCCGGGAAAATTTTGCTTCACCAGGATTTACAACATCAAAATCCGATAACAAAATTGTGAGTAAACAAAACATATGACTAAAACAGACTTTTCAAACTCAAACTCAAACTTTTAAATGTGTCTGTTCTATAATTAACGAAATTTTACCTGCTGAAAATAAAAAATTCAAATACTTTCTTTTAATGTTTTCTAAGTTTATAATTTAACCTTCAGAACGGTGTTCTGCGAAGGGATCAAGATTTAATTCTTTATGGAGAAGTATCAAGCGAAGGAACTTACACCTGCCGGGTCAGCTCTCTGAAAGGTTCCAAGAATTATCACATTAAAATCTTCATCAATAGTCCCCCGAGTTTTACCAGTGATGAGGTTACCTTGATTAACTACGATGACACGAGAAGTACTTATCTAAGCTGCGCTGCATCAGGAAATCCTACACCCACGGTATCCGATATTTTTATTAATAACGCCTAATGATTTATAGTGTTTTCAGATATTGACCTAACCAAACCCTTAAAATATTGGCCGTAGTATAAAATTTAACTTTTTATTCGTATCATTTACATGTTCATTTCTGTTGTCCTCTTTTCTAGGTTGTATGGTACTGGGACGCTTACAAGTTAAAAGAAACACAGATGTATCTACTTGCAGATAAGATTGGCAGCTACACTTGTGAATTGGAAAATGGTTTTGGATATATTAGTCGCAAATTCACGATCGTCGCTCCAAGTTAGTTGATACAAATGTTATAAGGTTTTCGCGGCCGTGTTCTATTACTGCTTAATTATAAACAATTAAATCTCATAGAAGACACGTTGCAAATTGAAAGACTGACATTTTAATTAATGATTCCGATAACAATACCAGATTATACATCGTTGAAGTTAGATGTTGTTACTTGCACAATGTTATCATTTAGTTAAAATAAATTAAATACTGTCTATAATATACTCGAGTAGTATAAATTTAAATAAAACACTTTAACGGTTTAAAGGCGAAATATTAGTTAAACTCACACTTACATACTTACTTCTCATTTACATTTTAACTAATATATAATCGCGTTTTAAACAGTTAGTGTTTTATTTAAATATGTACTATGCGTAACTATAGACGTTCGTTTTTTTAAAAAAATTAATAAAACCCTATTCACATTATAAGCAAAAATATATAGATTATTTATCTTATACGTTTGTTTATTCTTATACATTTTACAACGTGAAATTATTATACAATTATTATACATATATCCCTTTCAAAGTCGTTTGTAGTTATTTTTCTCTATCTTTTTGTTACACACGTTTTAATATAACCAGCTCTCTTTCTTATAATAATAGCCCGTGAATTCTCAACCAAATCCATGCGACAAACAAACATTGTTTCCTCCTCGCAGTAGACGTAGCAATGACAATCATTATGTTTGCATTACAAGTAACCTCACTATATAAAAATTAATCAAATTTTATTCTTTTAGATTGTACATTGAATATTGCAACTGACTTTGCAAAACCTGAACCGCTGCTATTGACAAGCGCAAGACTAATACCTAGATTCGAAGTCGTTAAGAGCGTCGTCCATATACCAAGAGACACTACAATTTTCGTTTCCTGCCAAAGCAGTTATATAGAATACGACAATATCAATTTAAAAACTGATTCCCTGGAACTGACGTGCAAAAAAGAGACCAATTTCGTATTCAAACATAGTAGTAAGCTACAAATTGACTTTAGACATCTCAAGTGTAAAGAACCAGTTCGAGCGTCTTCTAAGAATTCAGGTATACTCTGTAGTCTTCAAACGAAGAGGAACAAGCTGTTCAGGATCGGATACAAGATTAGAAGTCAATTTCTATATGTGTATGAACTGTGCTACGACTTAGATACAAGAACTCCGATATATACAATACTTTTAGTCCACAAATCTGGTGTTGGCATCAAGCCGGATAGAGTAGAGTATGAAAATACTAAATCAACGTTTATCGATATGCAATCATTGTATGAATGTGATAGACAAAAGTGGACAATATCGAAGAGGTTAGGCAGAGATTTCCACGCAACTGACAGTGGATGCTTTGAGAAACGTCAGATGGTAGACGCGAAGAATCTCTTGCCTGGTTTCAAAGAATTACGTTTCTGAATTTGAATGTAGCACCTTCATGGGTTTTTATAGATCGGTGACGTGTTCTGGAATTCTGAATGTTAACATATTGCAGTCCTTCTTATAGGTAGGCTTTATAGATCGGTAATTACATTAAAGTTTAATTTGGAAAATTTCATAATCATTATCGGGGTTCTCCCCCTTTCCCCCCCCCCAACACACTTTTGTAAGAATTTTTTTTTTTTTTGGCAAAAAAAAACAGGGTAAAGGATTTTTTCAAATTTAAATAAAGAACATTTTTGAACAGTCTTTAAAAAAAAAAAAAATTTTAAGGGGGGAGGGAAATTTTAGGGGGTTAATTTTTTTCCTTATATATATTCACAGAACTGGGAAGAAATAGAGAATCGTGTACACAATAAAGTTAAGACTTTGAATAATGGAATTGTGGAGTGGACTGGGGTGTTCCAACAACTTCAATTACCTACGGTGTTTGGAATCAGGGTAAACATAAATCTTTCAGACAAACATGGGAGACAAATGTCCATACCCAAGTACTGGTGGAAGGTAATTGATTTTTGCCTAGGTCTATTTATAGAGGAGGACAGATAAGCATAAAGTTCACTTGATGGTGGGTGAACTACCCTAGCTATAGAACATCTAAACAAGATGCGCTGTCAAACTACTTCGGCTTTGGATATTCGGAAATCCACAGACGGAAACCGCAACGGGATTATACTTGACGACTTTTTATCTGCGGATGGTGGTTTGACCCTTTTCGATATTCTTACCACCCACTTATCAAGATTTCCAGACGAAGTCCAACCTGGTTCAGAGAAATTATAAATCGATTAGAAAAATTACGATTAGGGTGGGACTTGAAGCGGCATCCACAGTTGCTGGTGCTGATTTAACCAATTGAGCTACAGTGTCCTACACATCTTCGAGTTTCTATTACTCATTGATACATGTACCTCTTGAATTATCCTTAAAAATAAAAAAAAAAATAAAATTTTAAAAAAAATGAAGTGAAATATGAGTATCAGCATGTTTTAGAATCTAAAGTCTTTTAATTATGTAGGTATAATCCCATATGCCATCACTAAATTATGAATATTCATCAAGACCTGTTCTTCCCTTCAGGTTGTTCGAAATGAGGAGCTACAAGCTGGTGTAGTGATAGTACAAGTGAATGTGCCTGATATATCGTCCCAAAGGGAGGCCGAAAGCTATGTCCTATGCAAAGATATTTGCCACGAAGTTCCCTGGTTGAAAAACGATGATTGGAAAGATTTCCGAAAGGGATACGTTTTCTGTTGCAGTATTAACGATTTTCATGAAACTACTAAGGAGTACTATTTCAGAAATAAGATAAGGAGGGTGTTATTATAATTATTAAAACTTCAAGTGTTTTCCTTAATAACCGCATAGTATGTAAGTATCCAAATTGTTCAAAACACTCTAGGTTTACATCGGCAAATATGCTATTTTTATTGACATACTTTTAAATACGACCAAAGTTCAAAGGCTTTGTAGACATTGTGATCACGCAGAATATAAGTCAAAGCAGGTTATCCCATATATTTCACGTTTTAAATGGTTAAAACTATATTATTTAATGTGTAGACGAGAACAAGACAAGTAGTAAGTATATACACTACTTATTAAGTTAGCGTGAAAAAAAATTACTTCCTTTATTTATATTCATATTTAAGCTGAAAATTTGATTTGTATGTTTGAACGCGCTAATCTCGGAAACTTAGTTCGAATTGAAAAGTTCGTTTTATCGTATTTATCGATAGGGTAAGCGACCGAGCAGCGATGAAACCGCGGGAAATAAAACAGGGAAAATTATTTATAATTGTGGTTCTCAGTAACGTACGCTGCCAAAACTGTTTGAAATATAAAAATATGTATAAAAGAATGATTCCTCTTTAAATGATCTAACAAAAAGTCCGCGATTGTATACGTCTATCTTTTAAGAATTACTTGCACGGATGTCGTCGTGAGAACAGCTTAAATTTATAGAGATGAACAGGAGGTTTGCAAAAAAACATTTTGATGCCCAAAATAATTATTCTACGCTGATGAGTCTAAAGCTAGTTTATTATTTTATTAAGCTATTAAGTACTTTTTTCTTTAAAAGACGAGTGTGCAGGCATAAGACAATAATAACTTGATGAAAAAATACTGGTGTAATCCATTTGATTAAAAATCTGTAAATTTAAACTATTCAGTGAATTAAAATGTATTCAGAAAGTAAACGCCTGCTAAATAAAAATAGTTAAAATTTGATCAAACAATTCGAATGACAGGTAGGTTGTGCCAAAACACGATATTGACGATAATATATAACCATATTTCAATACTTTACATTTATATTTTCCTAAAAAAAATGTCAAACATAAATATATACATATATAAATATATTTTTTTTTGTACTTATATCATACACTAAGTAGTTCTTTATTGCAAAATTGGTAAATTTTCACTCCAATCTGCCTATAAAATGTTTATAATCCCGCGCTTTTGTTAACTCTTTGACACTAAAATCAAGTGAGTGGCTTTAGCGCTAGATAAGAACTCACTCATAATTTTGCAATTTTTGGCTACAATAGAATCCCAGCCATGTCAACGCTCGTAGTCTAGAAATGTCGAAACTGTTTGTACTTCACAAGAGCTCGTGATAATCTATCAATGATAATCACGTTTGATGACTCCAAGTATAAAGGCTGACCTTACGACCTGCATTTTGGTGAGGCCCAAATGCTAAGTACTTATCCGTTATTTCCAATTGGGCAATAAATAATTATTGTTTTACAAAAAGGCTAAGTGTTCATGACTAGAATTCTGTAGCTATTATTAATATTAAAATAAAAAGGTTTTGGAATGCACCTGGCGGTCTTATCGCTATCCAAGCTGAAAAGTTTTATGACTTTTAATACCAAAATTAACTGTTTTATTATTGTATTATAATATTAAAGTTATGAAAATTAGTAGCTAAATATTTAAACGTAGTGCATTGTGTTAAGTGCGAGAGGTCCTACGAGGCGAAGAGGGATCTCACTTTCACTACTGTACTTCTTCCTAAAATTTTGATCCATTGACTAAATCATATACAAATAAATTATGAAAAAAATTCTTTGAAATTTTGAAAATTTTTACATGTCGTATAAAATATAAATGCTCAATTAAATATAGCAGACATCAAAATAGATTATGTATTAAAAATATATCTATCAACAGATATCATAAACATGTCATACTATCAAAGCACAAGGATTCGCATTCTAATATTTTCAACAAAACAGAAACTTAATGTATCTCATACTTGTAAATTAAAATTTATAAAGTCATGTTCATTGATCTAGTGTTGTCGACAGTGATAAATATTTTTAGGAAGGGGCCAAGAAGTTATAGGTGGAGGGGAAGAGAGATAAGCAATGAATGAAAGTATATATTTTTTTTGAATTGTAGTTTAAATACTATAGATCGTAAAAATTATGTCTTATATAATTAACATTTCCTGACTGACTCTCTAGGTGGGTAAATGTTTACACCCGTTGCCAGATAGACTGTAAACCTAGGCAAACGCTGATCGACCATCATTGTCAGTCAATAACATCGACCAGAGAAACTGACACAGAAAATTAGCCCCATTAGACTAGGGGAACAGGATTTCAAGACGAATACATTTGAAAAAAACAATAAAATAATATTTTATGAATTTCTCCAAGCAATTTAATATATATAGAAAGAAAAATTAATTATTGGCAAACATGGTATTACAAATAAGATCTTAAAAAATAATTCTTTGGACTGTGGCATTTCGGGGTTTAGACATCAGCTGAATGTTGCACGAATTGACGTCCCTAATTTCTCGTCTGTATATGCTTCTAACTTAGTAATCTGTGGCCCCTTGGAATCATAGATGAAAAAGCCATCAATTTTAATGGCGTTTCGGTTTGAGTCTGTGAATTTTCGAATATCCAACGCCGAAATAGGTCGATAGTCAGTTCTCCACTTTCATAAATACATAACCAGCATTGAACCATCGATCTTGTCAAACAGTGGCACACTTGATAAAGCGATTGTTGTTTGTTTGTTTCAGCATGATATCGAAGAAAGATATTTCATCGATATCATGCGCACATCACTATAATCTACAAAACGGATGCGGTCAGCTCGCAGCCTTCACATATGCCCTTTGCACATTTTATTTGAACTGGAGAGGTTACAAGGCGCGGTCTACATATGTTCTTCTTCCCACGCTAATAGCTTTGGAAAAAGATTTTTTGTGACCCCTACCCCCTTTTTCTTTACGGGGGTAGATTCACAAATTAAGTTTATATAACGTTGACGAGGTCTTTGGTCTACTAATCAATAGATCGAGGACACTATACCCGGTCTCACATATTTGAAAACAATTGATAATTTTCCTGAAACATTTTGGACTTCTGGAAATCTGGGTATTAATTACCTAGTGGGAATATCGAAAACTCCGTTTGGGTCACAGACCACCGTCCACAGATGGTAAAGGCGAAAAATTTTATCAGTTTCAGTCTGTAGATTTCCATCAACCAAAGCTATAAATAGGTCAACAGCAAATCTTGTTGTGTTGAGGCTAAGCTATTACACCTACAAAAACATCTTTATCCATTCTATGTCCAAGGTTTGAATTCCGACGGTGACTTTGGCGTCGGTTGAGTCATTAAAATGCATCAAATTAAAAATTATAGGTCAAGCTGTTAAAACCGTGTCAAATATCGTCTTGCGAACTGTCAATGGGTGTAATCATTTTGAACAATGGAGCCATTACTACAGAAAAAGATTACAGTTTTGTTGCAGTTGACTATGAGGTCGTATATCCTTTGATCTGCGATAATTAGTGGTTATCTTTAACCTTTGATTAAAAGTTAGCATTAGTCTTATGTAAAAAGTCGAAAAAGACTATGAGAGATCAGAGAAGAAAATGGTAAATGCTGTACATCTAATCCTTGTTGCATTATGATCTATACTAATATATATAGCGGAAGTGTTTGCTTGTTTGTTTGTATGTTTGAACGCGCTCATCTCAGGAACTACTGGTTCCAATTGAAAACGTGTTCAGCTGATAGGAGCGAGGAAACAGCGAGAAATATAAAAAAAATGGGGAAAATGTTACATCTTTGTGGGTTTCCGTTGTGTACGCTGCAAGAACGGTTTAAGAAGCCAGAAAAATGTGTATGAAAGAATGATTCCTTTTTAAATGATATAAAAAACGCTATATGTCTATCTTTTAATATTAACTTTCAAGAACGACGGGACGCGACCGACGTCGTGGCTAACAGCTATAATTTAGAAAGATTTGCAAAAAAAATGTTGACGGTCAAAATAACTATTTACGCGAAGAAAGTCGCTGACACAGCTATGTACATTACGAAGTGTAGACTTTGCCCTTTCGTTACGAATATTTAACCAATTTTGATAGGATTTTAATAAAGAGTATTTCATAATATTGCTTTCTGACGTTGAATAAATGAATCATCGAAATTTCCACGATCGTTGAAAATCCTACTGAACGCAACACTAGGTTTATAAAGCTTGTGTATTTTGCAGTAATGTTGGTGTCATCATTATAAAAAAGGATCCTGTTCGAGAAATAATCGTTTATATTAATTGTATTAAATGTTACGCCTTGAAATAGTGATGTCATAATATGTTTAATTACATAGAACATCATCTTTAACAGCTGTTTGATATAATAATATTCAATCTTCTGTTTTTGTAAGGCTTAAGGAATAGCAACTGTCCCCGATAGACAAGGTAGCCTTTTTGAAATAAGGTTGTATCTATGTATAGCAATAGAAGTTCTGAATTCGAACCCTGGGTAAACAATATATATTTTCGGTTCGTTGGGCACAGAATGCTATTCAATGACTTATGGTGCATCACTATAAAGGCCATTGTGGCTTCATCCAAGTACATCATAAGCTAAGTGGTGTCCCACCACGTACATCTATTATACATATGTCTTTGTTTTATTGTATGTGGAATAAAATATTTCATTTTAAATAAAATTAACAGTAAAACTAATACAGAACTGCTTATCATAGATAATGTAAATGTATATTTATAAATTACAGAGTCTAGCTCATAATATCTCTAAAAACTAGTACTGTTAATTTTACTGACAATCGTTGGAGTGCTTTCTGTCTTGTTTAAAAAAAATCGAACCCAGATCCCAGCTGCACTAGTAAGCAGGTACTTAGCCAAGATGGCGGATAGCTATCAATTGCGGGCACTTTATTGTTAGAAAACATTTCAAGAATCCATCATTGTTTCACTCAAAAATGTGAGATTGTTATCGTAATAAGAATTCTATTTTTCTATACATCTTCGCGAAACGGTTT